GCACCTGGCCTCTCACAAACACCTTGTAGTTTGGTCAGCTAAGTTGCTGTTTATCTGTTGAAGGGAAGGCGAAACGCAAGCTCGTCCTTCTTGCACCCCAGTTAAAAAGCCCTAAACTCCAAAGGTGGCTTGCAGAAATTCTTACGACCTGAACCAAACAGCACCCTTACTGAGCCCCGTAGAAACAACCCTGAATCCTTAAACCTATAAACCCCTTAACCGTCAACTTCTAAAGCCCTCAACCCTCAACCTTATAGACCCTTGCAAAACCCTAGCCGAAACCCTGAAACCCCTCAACCCCTTAAACCCTAAACACTCAAACCTAAAACCCTAAAACCTTAAACATTACTGAAACCCGAAACCCTGAAACCCTAAACCCTCGAACGCTTCAACCCTTCAACTCAAATCTCCGATGCGTCCGCCGGACCACGCCGCGAGGACCCGGCGCAGAGCTTCCTCCGGGGACCCCGGAGCAGGATGTTATCTTGTTCGTAGTGGTGGTTTAGGGCTTGTTGTTTAGGGTTTGGTGTTTAGGGTTTACAAGGTTTAGGGTCCAGGGGAGTAGGTGACCTGTGTAGTGGAGTAGGTGACCTGTGTTAGGGTTTGGGGATGGTTGCTTTGGGATTAGGGTTTAGGGTAGTCGGGTTTAGGGTAAACTTAGAGGATCATGGGACTTAGTAAATGGGTGATAAATCAGGCGAAACTTATAATTAAGCTGCGTTATAACACCAAATAAGGTATTTATGACCTTGCTTACTAAGTCCCATGATCCTCCAAGTAGGGTCTAGGGTCCAGTAGTACAGTAGGGATTTTTTTGGCTTGTTGAACCCTAGACCCTAAACCCTAAACCGGGCCCTAAACCCTGAACCCTAAACCTTAAACCGGGCCCTAAACCCTAAACCCTAAACCCTAACTGTTGGGGCTGGTACACTTAGTCGCAGGATGCTAACCTCTTTAACTCTAGGGTTCCCTTACAGGCCTCCTCAAGGTTCCCTTTACAGGAAACTCCAGAAAGTTGGAATATAGTTTCATGGTAGGATACCCTATAATTTACCATAGATGGGTTAGGATAATCATATTCCAACTTTCTGGCTTTTACCTTAATTAAGGAACTATACCTTAAACTCTAGTAGGATCCCTAATATGAATTAAGGTATATTCCAACTTTCTGGCTTTTACTATAAGTTCATCTTTGTGGGCTCCCCCTCAAGCTTTTGGGTCGAGGTTTGCGGTTTGGGGGTCTAGAGTTTAGGGTTGTTTGCTTGGAGGGTCGGGGGACTTAGTAACTGGTTATTTTAGGGACTTATAAGTATCATAACCCCAGTTAGGGTCCCTTTTAGGGTACTTATAAGTCTACTTACTACCTGCTTACTAAGTCCCCCGACCCTCCAAGTGGGTAGGGTTCCTTTAAGGGGTTTAATTGAAGCATCCGGAAGGGTTTCTTTAAGGAGTTTAGGGTACCTTACAGGGTTCCTTGAAGGGGGTTCTATACGAGTTGTTATAGTGCTTACAAGGGCTTAGAGTTTCTTTTTGGATATATAGTTTTAGGGGGTTAGTTGGGTGATTATACGAGCTAGTACCAGGACGGGTGCCATAAGCGTCTGAGAGTCCATGTTTTAGGGTTCAGGGTTCCCAATACCCGCTGGTCAAGGAATGTGCCTTGAATCATAGTATGAAGCTCCTCATAACTTGAAGTCTGCTTCTCAGGTGAGGAGTGTTGGACTTTCTAGGTTTGGCTTTCGAGCTTCAGGGGCTTATGGGCCTAAGGGTTTAGAGCTTAGGGGTTTAGGGATTAGGGTCTTCACGGGGCTTGGTAATGCTTTCTAGTTTTTAAGACTTCAAGAGGTTTATTGCCAGGATTGGCTTGTCTTCCTTGTAACATAGCACACATTTGAAAGTTTTTTGTGTCGAGTTGCATCTTACAGCAGTACCCAGACCTTCCAAAATCCCTTAATTAAGGAATACACCTTAATTCATATTAGGGGTTCTATTATAATTTAAGGTATATTCCTTAATTAAGGGATTTTGGAAGGTCTGGGTACAGCAGTATATTATGGGCTGCATTGGGATTTTAGAGTTCCTCAAGGCCGCCTCAAGAGTGCCATAGCCTTTCTTTAAGCTATGTGCTGCGGACTTTGTAGGTTAGTGAAATAGGGTTTTGAGGTTATAGAGCTTATGTATACAAACAGTCCAAAGTTTAGGATTTTATATCTGGGGTTTAGTTTTGTTTCACATTTTTGCTTGCGGTGTGCGGTTCCTGTGTTTGCTCACACAACAGCAGCCCAACCCTCACTGAGTGTTGAAAATGCTGCTTTGACCTCGTATTGCTTTCGGAGGATCACAGCGTTGGCGCGTGCACGATTTTCCCGAAGTACCTATGTAGTAGAATGGAGGGTTTCTATATTAGGAAGTAGTGTTAGGATTCGGGGAAGTATCCCCCCTGACACTACCTAATTAATGTAGTTAGGAACCTGATTAAGAAACCGTGGGCCCATAACCCCCAAAAATAGTAGGATTCATATAAAGAACCGTCATAAAGGCCCAAGGTTTCTTAATCAGGTTCCTACATTAGGACCCTTTGTTTTTGTGCTCCTAAGACCTCTCTTCGAGGAGTTTCCACGCGTCAACGTCGCCATGCTCCGTGCCGAGAAGGAGTTGATAGGGACCCGACAAACCACACACACACACAAGAAGCTTCTTACAAGCAGAATAAAAACGTCCCTGTTACAAATCTGGTATAAGTCCTCCAATAAAACCTGTTCGACATATTCAGGCCTCAGCATTCGGGTTAGTTTTGCTCTCGGCTTCCTGGGAATTCTGTTTTGCTGTGGTTTCAATAAAGCTCCAAACTGTCATGTACAACAAGAAAATATTATTATGCTTCGAAGGGCGTTTAGCATAGAGTCCCAGGTGGGTTGGGATCTTGCCCGCATCCGCCTTGCATTGTGTGTTTTCCTTCGGTGGGGTTACCGTAGGGTTTGTTGTGAACCGAATTATGGGGTTTTCGGCTCTAGATTCTCGTGTTTTGTTACTAACAGCAATTCTGTTTTGACATTGCCATTATTTGGTGGCATTGTTTAACTTCTTTATTCTTACCATGTTGACTATGATGTTTGATTATTGTTGATGCTGTTGATATCTTTGTTGCAGCTTTCTGGTATCATCACTGTTTCCTTTTATTCTCAATATCATTGCTATGAAGGGTAATACTGTTCGGGTTCTTGCTGTTGGCATTTAGATTTCTCCGCCATCAGCCAATATTAACTGCAGAAGCTAATGTAGCGTCATTGTAAGAAGTTAGTGTGGATGCTGGGAGTGGTTCATGGGAGACCTAGTTTAGGGTTTAGGGTTTAGGGTTGATATTGAGAGAGGGGGCCGGACAAGATTCCCTCAACCATATTCAAGACCAAGATGTAATCGCAGGATGATTTTCTGAAGCGGAGGATCGGTAGGTTGTGTTTGACGTTTTCGATCACGAGCTCATGACTCGAGAGGCTGTTCCATACTGATTTTCCTTAAAACTGTAAACTCTAAAGCCCTAAAACCCCTAGGCCCTAAGCCATAAAAACCCAAAGCACCACGCCAAAGCGGTAAAGTTAAAGCTCTGAACCCAGCCCGCGGGTTCGAAGTGTCTTGTGGCCAAGGATGCACCTGTAACTCTATGTCTATGACCCCACATCCCGTAAAACAGTAGAATTCGACCTCTTCGTCATAGCCGTAATTATAGCGTATATGGCTTAGAAGGGGCCCCCACCCTGTAATAGTGGTATAATAGGAATATAATAGGGCCCTAATATAATCCTTTATGGTCACTAGTACAGGGTGGGGGCAGCTTCTAATGTATAGCACTTAAATGAACAGGTTAGACCCTAAACCCCAAGCCCAGTGCCCTGAACAGCAGGGCTTTGGGGACTTTGAGGTAGAATCCTTGGCCAGGCTTCGACGTCTTCCAAGTGGGGTTTTGGGCTTCGGGTTTCGAGTTCGGTGTACAGTGTCACTTTGAGGTCTACGGTTTCCTACCAGGATGCGCAGTAGTACCCTTATGCCGTTTCTGCAGCCCAAGTTTCCTTATAAAGGTACCCAATACCAAAAAGGGAGCCCTTTTTATTCCTAGGTTACTGGGCATCCTAGCCTAGACCCTAAACCCTAATCCCTAATCACTAATCACTAAACCCTAATCCCTAAACCCTAAACTCTAAACCCTAATGCCTAAACTCTAAGCCCTAAACCCTAAACCTTAAGAAGAGGGTTTAGGGTCTACAGGGGTCTTGGGTCGACCTGCGGGAAGATGGAAAAACGTAGATCCTCACTTAGCCCTGAAAAACCTATCTTTTTTAGGTTTCCTTGTTATGACATAAGTTTATAAGTATATATATATATATATATATATATATATATATATATACCAGTCCTTAAAAAGGTAGGCTATTCCGGGTCAAGGTCTAATTTGCACCCTCTACTGCCAAAGGGTACTTTATAAGAACCCCCGTAGGGAATCTATTTTGGGGATCCTCCCAGGGGTCTGGGTACGGTAAAGGGTAAAGGATGGTAAGGGGTTCAATTGTGGATTGGAGTTTGGGCTTTAGGTTAAAGGGTTCACGGTTCACCAGGGCACCCTCCCCAAGTGCCCTTGAACAGAGCCCTTGTGATCTGTGATGGAGGGTAATTCGAGTATGATAGAGGCTAGTTGGGGGCTTAGGGCAGCGTTTAGGGTCGAGGGTTTAGAGATTGGAGTCTCAGTCTCTAGAACACCCCTTGTTGAAGCTTCTTTCTAGCTGTTTACCCTAAGCCTGCTGAATGCTGAGTCCGCCACCACCTCTACTGTAGGGGCTTAAAAAATTACCAATACTATTTTGGGGGTTCCTTATTGTCATTGTTCTAGATCCCTTATAGACCCCTTTTGAGGATCCCTGCAAAAGGAACCCCAAAATCTAGTTATTACGACGCTTGCCGCTGTATTTCCTCGAGCATCCGGTGCTCCCCTCCTATCGGACGGGGAGATGGCGCAGTCCTCGGCCCCGGGGATGGGTCCTTAATAAAGTAAAAGCCAGAAAGTTGGAATATGATTATCCTAACCCATCTATGGTAAATTATAGGGTATCCTACCATGAGACCATATTCCAACTTTCTGGAGTTCCCTGTAGTACCAAAAGTTGTCCGGCAGACTTGTTAATTATTCCGGTTGTAAAGTGCGTAGAAAGGGTGGCCATATGTTTAATACGGTTTCGTGGCAGGTTTTGTAGGGGTTAGTTGGGATGTAGGGTTTGGGCTGGGGTTGTTGCAGGTGGTTCAATAGTTTAGATTGTTGTCAATGTCTTTGTTTCTTGCTTACAGTAAAAAGGAAAACGTCAAAGAATCCTGGCGGTTTCTGGCTTGTGGAGGGGTTTAGGGTTTAGGGGTTTGTGTAAAGAAGTCTGTGGGGTGTTTAGTCAGAGATTGTTGCAAGAGCGCCGCAGTAGTTGATATAACCAAAAAGGTTAACCTTGAGTTTCCCATGGTACCCGACAAGTAGGGGACAGAGAAGTGACACAAGAGGTGGATGCCTTGGTTGTCTCCTTCAGACGGCAACAATACAGTAACCCTTAGAGCAGCCCCTATACCCAGACCTTCCAAAATCCCTTAATTAAGGAATATACCTTAATTCATATTAGGGGTCCTCTTATGATTTAAGGTATATTCCTTAATTAAGGGATTTTGGAAGGTCTGGGTAGAAACCCTTGTAACCCTCACCGTAACCCTTCAAACCCTTGTAGTAAACCTGAAAACTCGTGTAGTAGCCGTTATGGCAGCGCTGAAAACCCCTACAGTGTCCCTTAATGCTATAGCCATGACCTCCTAAGACGCTCGTTATAAACCTAAACCCTGACTGACGAACTAACTAACCAACTCAATCACTAACTAACTATAACTACCTGACTAGCTAGCGAACGAGCCAGCGGGCTGGCTAGCTGGCTAACACCCCCACACACACACACGCATACACACTTACTTCACACACAGACACACAGAGACAAACCCTAAACCCGGAACCCCAAAACTCTCAACAACCCTAAACCCTGAACAACCCTAAACAACCCTAAACCCTAAACAACCCTAAGCCCTAAACAACCCTAAACCCTAAACGACCCTAAACCCTAAACAACCCTAAACCCTCAACCCTAAACAACCCTAAACCCTCAACCCCCAACTCCTAAGGTGCACGTTAAAATCGCATACCATGGGGCTCTTGAGCCGTCTGAGAAGGCGCCCGACCGGGTTTTCAGAGTTGTTAGGATTCTAGAAGTGGGTGGTTGTCAAAATTATGGTCACTTTTGGGGTCCTTTTTATCAGACGTCACCGAATATTTAGGGTACCCAAAAAGGGACCTTAATTTTGACAACGACCCAAGTGTTGAGGGTGTTGGGTTTAGGGTTTACTTGGGGGATCTTGGGACTTAGCAAGTAGGGTTATAAGTGCCCTAATTGGGGTGATACGTAGTTATAGGTAGAGTTGCCTTATTTATAACCCCACTTACTAAGTCCCATGATCCTTCAAGTAGGGTTTTTGCGGAATGGTGTGGAGGCTTTCGGTGTTTTGGGTGTACTCGACAGCTCTAGCAAAAGGATATGCCTGCCCCAAGACTACCCATGCACTACTCGGAGGATCATGGGACTCAGTAAGTAAGGCTATAAGTACCTCAATTGGGGTGATAAGTAGATATAAGTATAGTTACCTTATTCAAAACCTTACTTACTAAGTCCCATGGTCCTCTAAGTATACCCTAAACCCTATAGATCCCGTTTAAGGAGTCCTACAGATCCCCTTTTGGAGCCCTTTAAGGAACCCTTACTAAGTCCCATGACCCTTTAAGCAACGTTGTTGGATTCGGGTTAGGGGAGTAAGGGCGTGCAGGTTTACGGTTTGAGGATTAGTCTAGCTGGTGGGGCTCAATGTAGAATCTGATTCCTTAGGGTTCCTTATGTAGTTCTACGGAAATACGCCCCAAACACGTCCCATGACCCTTCAAGTAGGGGCCTAATAAATGGAGTAGGGTTCCTTGTAAAGGGGTTTATAAAGAGGCTTCCATAAGGGCTTTATATACCCAGACCTTCCAAAATCCCTTAATTAAGGAATATACCTTAAATTCAAATCGGACCCCTAATATGAATTAAGGTATATTCCTTAATTAAGGGATTTTGGAAGGTCTGGGATGAGGGTTCCTATAAGGGCTTTGTATAGTACCCACACATTGCTCAGGCTGGCACACCAAAGCCAAGCCGAGGCAACAGCAAAAACAACGCGATGAAACACATGGCTTATAGGGAGGGCCCATGTACCCATGTAGTATACGTGCCCGATAGGGGGTTCCTGAAAATAAGGCCGAAGTATATACCATGAAGTATATACCATATGGGTGGTTGCCAAAATTAGGGTCCCTTATTGGGAAGCCTAAATACTACCTTAAACTACCAAACCCTACTTTTTTGTAGGTTCTTATTATAAACCCTAATATGGAATTGATAGGGATCCTAGAGAAAAAGTTAGGTTTTGGTAGGTTAAGGTAGGTGCCGTATTATAATAAGGACCCAAAAAGGGACCCTAATATTGACAACCACCCACAGGAGCACGCGGCAATCTTGGTTAGGCTAACATCGGGCGATGGATTACGGCCAGGTTTGCGACAGGCTGCGTTCTGGGCCGAAGGGTCTTCTCATCGAGACAGAATATATATATATATATATATATATATATATAATATTAGAAGCTGCCCCCTGTAATAGTGACTATAAAGATTATATTAGGGCCCTATTATATTCCTAGTATACCACTATTACAGGGTGGGGGCCCTCTCTAACATTAATACGATGAATGTATTAGCTGGATGGCCTTAATCTGCCAGGTTGGGGCCCGCCCCTCCCTCCTCTCACTTGAGGGTTTAGGGTTTAGGGTTTAGGGTTGAGGGTTTCGAGGGAGGGGTCAGCGACAGCGGCTTCCAGGGTTTCAGGGGTTTCGGGGTCAAATTGTTTGTTCATGCGGGAGTTTCCGAAAATGGGGGGGGGGTGCCTTATTTTGGGGTTCTTATCATAAGCATCCTACTATTAAGGGTAATTCCTATATTAGGGTCCCTTATTTCGGAAACTCCCATGTTCTGACAGCCACCCAGAGCAACTTTGCAAGGCGAACCGACTTGCAGGCGTGAATGTGGAGCTACGGTCACGGGCCCGGCTCTGGGTTCAGGGCTTGAGGGAGTAGGGGCAGGTTTTTGGCGGTTCAGGGTTTTAGGTTGACGGTGTACGGTGAGGGCTTCGTGGATGTTGGGGGGGTTAGCTTGAGGAGTAGGGATTGAGTGCTTAAGGTTTAGAGAGTGTAGGGGTTGGAGATTTAGCGTTTAGCGTGCACGTTCAAGTTTGAAGCTCATTTAGGTCTTAGGGTTTAGTGTTTAGGGTCTTACAGTACTGTTTTGGTAAGGCTTTTGGTGCTTGGCTGTTCTTTTCCGTGCTCTCACTTGCCGTTGCTGCAGCGACAAGTGTGGGGGGTCTCGGGAAGGAGACGCTGAACTTACCTGGGTGGTTGTCAAAGTTATGGTCCCTTTTGGGGTACCCTGAGTATGAGGTGCCGCATTATAATACGGACCCAAAAAATTTTGACAACCACCCACCTGTAGTCTCCATGGTAGTTCCTTTTTTGGTTAGCCAGTTTTGTGGTTAGGATCCTATACTATAAATTTGGTTAACAAAAAAAGGAACTACAATGGAGACTATAGGTATACTTGATTGAGGGTTTTGAGGGTTTCGGGAGCATTGGAAGGTAGGGGCGTTGAGATGGGATAGACATGGTCTTCGATGGACAGCTGTGGTCCTTTTGCTTCACCGCCCGATTTCGAGAAGAAGTATCCCCGAAGCAAAAGTACAGATTGCCTCGACCTTAAGGCGTGGAGCTGCGACCGGTCCAAAAATAAGGGTTGCTGTAACAGAGGGATTCTGGGGCTTAGGGGCCTCATAAATTAGAACAGGGTTTGGGAGGTATATTGCATCGGTTCACGGCTGGGATCAATTTGCTGCAACGCTCAGCATGGAGAAGAGGAGTCGTAAGCGTAAATTGCTAGGTTAGCCATATTAAACCTTACCTGAACCCCTGAAAAAAACCTACCGTTCTTCAGGATTCACATACAACCATCAGCAAATCACAAACAAAAACCTGGGTAGGATCTTCAGACCTCAGGTAAAGCACACTAGATCCTGAAGCCTAAACCCTAACTCCTAAACCCTGACAACCGGAGAAATTCGCCAGTTGTGGCTAGCACAACCCGAACCAGTGCTTTGCCCTACAGCTTATACGAGTTCAGGAACGAAATCCCCAAACGCACCCTGAAAACGTTTTAAAGTTTAAGGTTCAAGTTACATACAGAGACTCAGAACATTAGAGTATAGGCCCGTCAGATTAAAATTACATGGACCCCTACAACATTACGATTTTGCAGAGATGTTTTCAACCGTGCGCGTTCTTGTGGTATTTTTGTGCAGCAGCTCAGATTGAACTACCAGTACGCGGACTCTGCGCCATTCAAATTTCATGGGGTCGAGGGCTGGTGGCTGGACAACTTCTTGAAGTCCGGGAAGCTAACCCGTGAGACATACTTGCAGTCATCTGCTCGCGTCAGCTTGGCGGATTGCAGGGCAGCTGAGCGATATCTACAGGACGAGTCGCTGCGCGGTGACGATTCGGCACAACCGCATGCGCTGAAACCGGCCATTCTGCCCTGAAGGGGCATCGTGACCAGCCCGTCGGGTTGCGAAATGTAGGAAACACCTGCTCCCTGGCCATTCTGCAATGGAGGTGCGCCTCGTGCCCAGGGGCGTTTTCCCAGCTCGCTCTAACATTCCCAAGGCTGCCCCGCAGCCTCGGAATCCATGCTATCGTCTCCTTAGGAATTCTTTTGGTTCTAAGGGGGTATAGCATGTGCATTAACATTAAAATGTTCGGCCAGTTGCACTTGCGCCGCGGCCCTCTGTGGTCACGCATGATCGATCACGGCCGGGATGCAACATGACTAGCGCAGGTTCCGTGGTGTTTAGTAGTATAATATACTACCAGGACCTAGAGTAGGCCCTTATTCCCTTTTTGGGGGGTTCCGGTTCGCTTATAAGCCCCTTTAAACCAAAAAGGGCACCCTTTTTATTCCTAGGCTACTCTTGGTTATTAGAGTAGCGTGAAAAGCTTTGTGTTTTCTATCAGCTGCGTCCTCGTCCTGTGTCCCATATACTCCCGCTGATCCCCAAGCAGCCCATACTTGGAGGCCCTGTTGACTTAGTAAGGTTAGGGGTTCCTTTAAAGGGGTCCTAAAAGGGATCTATAGGGGTTCCTTAAAGGGATCTATAGGGTTTAGGGTTTCTTACTTGGAGGCCCTTTTGACTTAGTAAGTAGGGTTATTAAGGTGGGTTATGGGGATTATAATGGGGTTTCTAGGGGATACTAAGTAGACTTACTAAGTCAAAAGGCCTCCAAGTACTAACACCCTGTGCACCGAAGTCTAGTCAACCTCACTTCCGCAATCAGGGCTTGGGCCGCCCAGGGCTTAATTTACCCAGACCTTCCAAAATCCCTTAATTAAGGAATATACCTTAATTCATATTAGGGGTCCTATTATAATTTAAGGTATCTTCCTTAATTAAGGGATTTTGGAAGGTCTGGGATTTATTTCACTCCGTCTTGGGTTTAGGGTTTGGGGTCGTGATGTTCAGGGGCTGTAAAGGAGGGCGCCTATTTGCCCGGTTCCGCATTGAACCTGAGCCCGGCAAAGACCCGGCTCATAAGTTTGCTATGTGTCCTCGTTTAGATCCGCGTTTCTCAAGCAGTGAGCCTCCTATCCATCATAAAGCCCCCAAACAGCTTCCTGCAATCCTTAAACGCACACGATCCTTGCACATCTAGCGGAGAGGCTTTCAATAGAAACCACAAACCTTGAAACCTGACAGAAGAACCCTTCAACTAGGATACTTTTTAAGGTCTGGTTCACACGGGTGCCATTCTGTTGTGGGGACCTAAACAGGGTCCGTAATTCAGAAAATTGAGCACAAAACTGATAAACTAACCCTAAACCCTAGACGCTTAGCCCTAAACGCTGAACCCTAAACACACAGGCCTGGCTGGAGTGTACGAGACCTTTGCGATGAAATTGCGAGTCTCGCTGCGAGGCAACCAAGCTTCCAGCTCCTTTTTGATTTTGAAATTGAAAGGTTCAGGGATTGAAGTGTTTAACAGGGTTTTAAGTTAGCTTATAATAAGCTAACTTAAAACCCTGTACAACAGTTACAGTTTGTCCGGTGAAGGTCTGAGGTTTGGGGATTAAGTTCGGGTTCAGGGTTTGCAAACACTGGACCCTCAGCAACCTAATAAAGGGGCCTCAGTAACCAGCTATACTATTTTTGGGGGGGCGGGTTCCTCAATATCGTTCTTGTATAATGGGCCCGAAAACTCTATTATTCTACTCATTAAGGCCCCTATATTAGCATGTCTGGTTTCCGAACATGAGTCCTTGAAGCGGTAAGCTTTTGGCAGGTGCAGGTAGGGTGTAATACTTCTGCTTTAGGGTTGACGGCATGCGATTTAGGGTTCCTGGTTGAACACTTCTGGGGATTGGAGGAGGTTACTCGGGGGACGTAATGACCTCAATCAGAACCCTATTTATTGCTAGGGTTTTAACAGGGTCTAGGGTTTTATGTGAGGGGCCAGGGTTTGTAGGGTTTTCAAGCTTACCATGCGGTTTCTCCAACTAAACCTGACTCCCTTAGTAAGGTGTCCGCAGGGCCTTATAAAACAAGAATAGGGCTCGATGTTCAACAATCGCGGAAACCGAAAAGAATTTCAACCCGATGCTTAGTACAAGAGCCCGAGATATCCGCCCAGACCTTCCAAAATCCTTTAATTAAGGAATATACCTTAATTCATATTAGGGGTCCTATTATAATTTAAGGTATATTCCTTAATTAAGGGATTTTGGAAGGTCTGGGCGTAGCAACAGTCCATGATAAGGGTTTGTAGGCGCCTTGGGAACCCGACACTGCGAAACTTTCGGTGCAGGGCCTTCGGACGAAGCCCTTCTAGGGTTTAGGGTTTAGGGCTGCGAAACTTTTGGTGCACGGCCTTTGGACGAGGATGCCAGGTAACCCCCAGAGGGTCCAAGTACCCAAGCCGTAGGGTTTTAGGTCTCAAAATCCATACTCTGAATGGCTTTTGGACCTTGAAACCCTACTATTTGGGTACTTGGACCCTTAGGGACCTAGGAATAAAAAGAGCTTCCCTTTTGGTATTGGGTGCCTTTATAAGGAACCTAGGACTACAGAAAGGGATAAAGGGTACTACTGGGCAGCCTACTTGGAGGGTCGGGGGACTTAGTAACTAGTTATTTTAGGGACATATAAGTACCATAACCCCAATTAGGGCCCCTTCTAGGCTACTTATAAGTCTACTTACTACCTACTTACTAAGTCCCCCGACCCTCCAAGTAGCCTTTGGGCTATCGGGCCCTCTGGGTTTCAAGTGTGCGGAAGAGGGTTTTCTGTTTCATGCGGTGCCTCAGAACCCAGACCTTCCCAAAATCCCTTAATTAAGGAATATACCTTAATTCATATTAGGGGTCCTTTTACAATTTAAGGTATATTCCTTAATTAAGGGATTTTGGAAGGTCTGGGAACATCTCGAAGCTCGAACTTAGAGGCTCCTTCCCCAAAGGCTCCATGTACCCTTATAGTAGATACTTAAGCCTTAAAGGGGTCCCTATATAGGTACTTTAAGGCCTGAGTATATACTATATTGGTACATGGATCCTTAGGGTTCAGAATGGAAAAGTTTGAAATTTTGCAAGTAGGTCCCAGACCTTCCAAAATCCCTTAATTGAGGAATATACCTTAAATGATAATAGGATCCCAAATATGAATTAAGGTATATTCCTTAATTGAGGGATTTTGGAAGGTCTGGGTTATGATGACTGTAGCTGGGTTAGTTGCGCAAAACTCTGCGCTCAATCCGTAGATCCGCAGGCGCTAAATCGCAACGCCCCTAACCCTGTGTCGCCAAACCGCGTGAAAGTTGTAGACCTAAGCCGCAAACCCCGAAACCTTGAACCGTGACACCCAAACGGCCTAGAGCCACAAAACAACGACCCAACCTCCAAAATCTAAGCTTTACAACTCCTATGCATACAGTGAGAAGCAATGAACACCTCCTACCTAAAGCGCGAGACCCTGAAATCCTAAACTCCCAAATCAGTCATCGACCCTTATCGGCTAAAGGAACCTTTAAGTGGATAAGCCCGAAGCCAGCAGTGGTTGAGGTTGGGGGGATATATGGTTTACCCTGAGCCCGTTCCCTAGGGATCTGAGGACTCATATACTAAGGCTTTTGGGCCCGAAGACCATAATACTATATAAGGCTTTGGGCTGTTTTGATGCCTAGGGCTTTAGAACTTTAGGGCTCACTCCAACAGGCACGGCATCGGCCTGCGAGTGGGCGCTTTGGTGAATCCGGCCAGAGGGCGAGCAGCGCCTCCCCACGAGGAGGCGGGGTTTAGGGTTTGGGGGTTTGGGGGTTTTAGGGTTTGGGGGTTTGGGGGTTTAGGGTTTAGGGGTTTAGGGTTAGGGATTTAGGGGTTTAGGGTGTAGGGTTTAGGGTTATATTCGTGTTCCTCGGAATTTACTTGTGTTTTTTGATATAATGGAATTCCAGGAGATTTGTAGAATCATTCTATTCGCTGTGGTTCTACAAGGGCTTGTAAGGTTCAGAGGGTTGGGCTTCACAAGTTCTTTGTCTTGCGCAGTATCGGGTTCTATATATGCCTTAGCGGTTCTTTCATCGCAGTTTCTGGTTCTGGTGAGGGCTTTAGGGTCGTAGGGCTTGGCTTTTAGAGTTGTACTTTTTCATGAGGTTTCTAGGGTTTGGTAACTTTAGGAAGGGCATTTGGGTCCTCGGTTTTCTTAGTTAGTGATCCATGGCTTAGCGCTTGTACAGGCTCGCGGTTAATAGGTTTCCTAGGCAGATCAGGGCGTTGGAGGTTTAATGCAGGGTCTTGGCAATTAGACCAGGGTTTCGGGGCCCGTTATACTATACGTATAAGAAAAATATACCTTAATTCATATTAGGGGTCCCATCATAGTTTAAGGTATATTCCTTAATTATGGGATTTTGGAAGGTCTGGGTGACGAGAAGTTCGGAGTTCAGGGCACGGGGCCTTGCTTCTGGAGTGTCGGTAAACGACCTAGTACCAAGAGCCCAGACCTTCCAAAATCCCTTAATTAAGGAATATACCTTAAATTATAATAGGACCCCTAATATGAATTAAGGTATATTCCTTAATTAAGGGATTTTGGAAGGTCTGGGAGGGTCCACATACTCTACTATTATGGAATTTGGTCCCCAAAACCATAATGGAGATGGTCGTTTAGGGCCTAATTCCATAATAGCAGTGTATATGGACCCTCTGGGGTGGTAGTAGAGTAGGCCACTTTAACCTTTGTTGGGTAGTATAGTCCCTATATAATCCCTATATAACCAAGAAGGTTAACCTTCAGTTCCCCATGGTATCCGCCAAATAGGACTTGAGAATATTTGAAGTCAGATTTCTGAATATTAGAAACCTCCTTCTGCAAGTATGAACCTAATTACCACTTAGGACATATTCGCTAAGTCTACTGATCCTTCAAATGCTTCTCAGATCCTAAACTCCAGCTTATGGCTCAGGGTAGTTTATGCTGCGAATAGTTGAGGATCCATGTCGAGGTTACACGCTGGATAAAGTTTACTATGGTCTGCTTGGAGGATCATGGGACTTAGTAAGTAAGATTATAAGTACCTTAGTTGGGGTTATAAGTAGTTCTAAAGTGTAGATACCTTATTTGTAACCCCACTTACTAAGTCCCATGATCCCTTTAAGTAGAGGCTCAGGCTTCATGTTTGCAGCGTTAGGCTTTGAAGTGCCCAGACCTTCCAAAATCCCTTAATTAAGGAATATACCTTAAATTATAATAGGACCCCTAATATGAATTAAGGTATATTCCTTAATTAAGGGATTTTGGAAGGTCTGGGTGCTGGCGTTAGTGTTCAGTCTGCTTGTTTGAGATGCGGGTATCGTGTTGTAGAGCTGAGGGTGGTGCAACAGTTGATGATATAAATCCTGCATTACCTAAAGGACCCTAAACTATGGGGATTATTATGGTATATTCCTTAATATGGGTAATGCAGGACTTACATCATCAACAGAAGCATGGTCATCTAGAGGTACGGAGGTTTGAAACATTGAGGTTTTGGGCTTTGGTTTTCGGGTTTGCCGGTACTTGGAGGGTCGGGGGACTTAGTAAGTAGGTAGTAGGTAGACTTATAAGTACCCTAAAAGGGACCCTGATTGGGGTTATGGTACTTATAACTCTTTAAAATAACCAGTTACTAAGTCCCCCGACCCTCCAAGTAAGTGGCTTCTGGGCAAATCCCAATCCCTGAACCCGGAACCCTCAACCCGACGGTTTGGGTTCCTTTAAAGGGGTCCTAAAAGGGATCTATAGGGGTTCCTTAAAGGGATCTATAGGGGTTCCTTAAAGGGATCTATAGGGTTTAGGGCTTCTTACTTGGAGGCCCTTTTGACTTAGTAAGTAGGGTTAGTAAGGTGGGTTATGGGGATTATAATGGGGTTTCTAGGGGATACTAAGTAGACTTACTAAGTCAAAAGGGTCTCCAAGTAATCCCCCCTAAACTCTCAACCCGAAACCCTGAACCCCAACCCTAACCCTCAAACCCTATAGGCTCTTGAAAGAGCCCTTTACAGGAACTCCTAACGGACCCCTTACAGGCCTGTAATAGAGGGGCCTTAAATAACAACCTATTCTATTTGGGGGGGGGGGGGGGGTCATTATTACTATTTTGGTTGGATATACACCGAAACCCTATTCAAATTTTTAAGGCCCCTACATTCGCGGGTCTGGTTCCTCGCAAGAGGCAGCTTCACACTTCGCGGACGGCGATGTGGCCTCAGTGCTGGGCGATCTCGCGCCCGGCCCTTAGGTTTACAGTGAACACCAGAAAGTTGGAACATGGATTTAGGATGATAAGTGCCGGGATCCCATATGCCTGGCCTTAAGGGCAGGAGGAAAATGATGTTCCAACTTTCTGGTTTCTACCATATATGCGGTTTGCCTGGATCCAATAAACTCATGTATAGGTGTTACGTAGGTAAGGGTTTTCGAATCCAGGCCCGACGACATATCTTCTCATGCAGGCTATGGGGTTTAGGAGTGTAGGATTTAGGGCTATTGCCCAAGCAACCATAAGGGTCAATCTACTTGTGGTACAAGTGCTTAAGCTTTAGTATTTTCTACAGCATAAGGAATCAGGAAATCATAGCCATGTGTTAGCTTCAACACAAAGACGATGATCTGCTATTAAGTTCAGTACATATACATATATATATATGCATATATGTTTAGCGTTTTAACTTATATTTGTACTTGCAGCCATATAACAGTTATTGTGAAAAAACACAGGGAACTCTCGCCAAGCGGGCGCCATCACCAGGACGGACCCGTACCCGTTCAGTTTTCCTACGACTCGAAGTACACAGACAGTAAGTAGTGCCTACTTTGGGCGATTTGGGGTCTCAGTGTTTGTGACATTCAGACGACTTCTTAGTTTGCCTCACGCTAGGACCATAAACCACAAAACCCTTAAACCCTAAATTCCAAACCCTAAACCACAAAACCCTCCAACCCTAAGCCCTACACCCTAAACTCTAAACCGTAAGCCACAAAACCCTTAAACCTCAAAACCCCAACCCACAAAACCCCTACTTGGAGGCCCTGTTGACTTAGTAAGTCTACTTAGTATCCCCTAGAAACCCCATTATAATCCCCATAACCCACCTTACTAACCCTACTTACTAAGTCAAAAGGGCCTCCAAGTAAACCCTTAGACCTCTAAACCCTAAACCACAAAACCCTTAAAACCCTAAACCCCAAACCCCTTAACCTCATAAGTCCTAAACCACAAAACCCCTAAACCCCGATCCCCAAGACCCCAAAACCCCAAACCCTAAACTTTAAACCCCCAAACTTTTGGCTCCTTGATATGATTTCCTTATATACGTACTTGAAAAGGTAGGTTATTATTTAGGGTTAAGGTAAATCACATAACACGTAAACCCTCTAAACCCTGAGCCCCTAAACCCCTAAACCCCTAAGCCCCGAAACCTTGTACTAGAACTAGAATAAGGAACACCCCCCAAAATAGTAGAGGCAATTACTTACGCCCCTTACACCCCGGTAATACCCCTTATAGTAACCCTAATAGGGCCCTTTGTCAGGATCCTTTAAAGGGAATCCGGATTCAGGCCCCTATTTTGTAAACCCCTGTAGCTGAGGCCGGAGCCCTATCCGGAGCGGCCCCCGCGGCCTCCACGATCCGCCGACTCGCCGTGGCCTCAGTCTTTCTGGGTGTTAGGGTTCCTCTAGAGGGTACTTTAAGGGTTCCTTTCAGGGATCTATACGGTTTAGGGTTGAGGGGGCTTGCCAAGGGTGTAGGAGGTTTCTGGTTTAGGGTTCCTCACAGTGGTTTCCTCGTAAGAAGTCCTGTCAATTTCAACAGGTAATTAGTTTTTTTGGGGGGTCAGGGTCTAGGGGAAAGGGGTTGAGTTTGCTTATTTGTGGTTCCCTTTTGAAACTTGGAGGCCCTTTTGACTTAGTAAGTAGGGTTAGTAAGGTGGGTTATGGGGATTATAATAGGGTTTCTAGGGGATACTAAGTAGACTTACTAAGTCAACAGGGCCTCCAAGAAGTCCAGTGTTTTTTGAAGTAACAAGTTCATTGGGGGCTTTGGGGTTGCGCATAGTACCTATAGTCTCCACTGTAGTTCCTTTTTCTTGGGTTAACCAGTTTTATGGTTAGGATCCTATAGTAGAGATTTTGGTGTACCAAAAAAGGAACTACAATGGAGACTCTAGGTAGTAGCAGTAGGCGACGATATCTCGCTGCAAGGCTATGTCGAGTGCACCGTACTGCCACGATGAGCTGCGAACCCTCTTATCATAGAGCCCTTTTGAAGATCTTTCTAGGAGCCCCAGTTAGAAACTCAAAAGGCATAAATTTCATAAGTTCGATGGCAGAACCTTCAAAGACCCGTTTTCATGAACCTTGTAAACGAAGCCCTTTCCTAATTTAATTTATTAAGGCCCCCTCTACTACGAACACTGCAGGACTCGGCCTAATTCGCACTGTTGTTCCTCTAAGGCTTACCCTTGTATCATACACTAGAAGTCTTCTCTGAACTGTTGGGGCTCCTATGCACAACCCTTACAATAAACCTTATCATAGAACCATTATGCGCAACACTTTGAAGGCACCCCTGTTCTAGCTTATTAAAGCTCTTTATATATAGACCCCTTGTAAGGGGGTCTGTAAAAGAACCCGGCCCTAATTCTAGATTGCTCAAGGCTCCCTGAACCCTAAACCTATATAAACCCTAAACTAAAAGCCAATTATATAAACCTTATAAATTATATCAACCCTATAAAGCCTAAACCCTACCTGACAAGCCTCATAAACCCTCAAAACCCTCTAAAACCTATAAACCCTCTGAAGCCCTAAGCCCTATACCCTCTGAACTCTGTAAACCCTAAACCCTGAAGCCTAAGCCCTATAAACCCTATCAGCTCTATGAACCCTATAATTAAGCCCCATAAACCCTACCTTAACCCGGGATAACCTACCTTTCTAAGGACTTATATAATGAAGTCATTCATACCAAGGAACCTAAAAAATAGGCTATTCAGGGTTAAAGTAAACTTTATATATTCTGAATTTTACAAGCTCTATAAAACCCCCAAAGCTCTATTAAACCCTATACTTGCCTATAAGCCCTATAAACACTATAAACCCTAAACCCTTTAAACTCTTTAAACCCATAAACTCTATAAACCCTAAACCAACTCTATAAACCCTAAACCCTAAACCCTTTAAACTCTTTAAACCCAATAAACCCTATACCCTGTTAGCTCTTTAAACCCTTGAAACCCTATACACCCTATAAGCCCCATATAGGACTCACATAAAGAAACCATTATAAGGAATCCGAAATTCAGGATTGAGGTAAACCCTATATACTCGGAACCCAGACAGAGGCCTAAATAAGGCAACTATACTTATAACTACTTAGAACCCCAATTAAGGTACTTATAACCCTACTTACTAAGTCCCATGATCCTCCAAGTAGACCCTAAACCCCAAACCCTGTAGATCCCTTTAAGGAACCCGGGCTTATGGGGGATACTAAGTAGACTTACTAAGTCAAAAGGGCCTCCAAGTATATACTCGGAACACAGAGGCCGGTACCGGTGACCATCTTCACTGGCTTCCTGGGCGCGGGGAAGACGACGGCGCGACCCCCTGCAGAGAGATCCCAGTGGGAGTTTTTTTTGGGGGGGGGATCTATAGGGGTTTAGGGTTTAGGGTATTTTGGGGGGATTTAGGGTTTAGGGTATGTTTGGGGGGATACAGGGTTTAGGGGTGTCGGGGATTTTTGGGGATTTAGGGTCTACCTGGACCCTACAAAACATTCCGTTGTAGGGTTCCCGATTATGACTTCCTTATATAAGTTCTTAAAAGGGCCATACAGCCGTATACCTTAAGCTTGCCCTGATCATTAGTGTTACTATACTTGTCATAACTGTTGTTCTCATCATTTGTTCATGTAGACTAGGGTTCATGGCTTTGAGCGAAAGTCTTACAAGTCCATTGACTTGAAAACCTTAAATATACATCTCTGCGAAGCTTTCCCTGCACTTGCTGGGCCGCAAAGCCTAAACCTTCAAAGCTAAATCCTGAACCCTAAATCGCCCAGACCTTTCAAAACCCCTTGATTAACGAATATACCTTAATTCATATCAGGGCTCCTACTATAATTTAAGGTATATTCCTTGATTAAGGGATGTTGGAAGGTCTGGGCGCCCCCGTGCAATGCGTGGCTGTAGGTCCTGAATCATCTTCTGGCCGGGCAGAGAGACAAGAAGCAGGGAGCTGAACTGCTGGGTCTTTCAGTTTTCTTCTATTTGGGTAGTTGTCAAAAATTAGGGTCCCTTTTTGGGAGCCCTAAATATAGTAATAAGGACCCAAAAAGGGACCCTAATTTTGACAACTACCCATTTAGGAGTTTAGGGTTTAGGGCTGAAGGCTTCTATGTAAGAAGCGCGCAATGGAACTTTACAAAGTTATTCCTACAAGGATACTGTATCGCCAGAGCATTATGAGATGTTATCCTGCTGAAATATAGGTTGTGATACTGTAACGGCTTTATAGCGTTTTATAGGATCAGGTCAGGTCTTTAAAAGGCCTCATTCGTCTGAGTTCTTGTTTAAGGTTTAAGCTACCAGCTTTAAACCCCTAAACCCTAAACCGCTAAACCCTGAACCATATTCACATGCTGGGTGTCAGGGTCTTTTGGGTCCATTTTTGGGGATCGTGTCAGGGCTATGCTGCTCTACTTTGAGGTTCATGGGACTTCTTAAAATTAAAAGGGCTCCTTGAAGGGATCTATAGGGTTCCTTAAAGGGATCTACAGGGTTCCTTAAAGAGATCTATAGCGTTCCTGAAAGGGATCTTTAGGGTTGAAGGTTTAGGGTCTACTCAGAGGATGACGGGGCTCAGCAAGTAAGGTCATAAATGTTTTAGCTGGGGTTATAAATAGTTGTAAATAAAAAGTGTACAGTTACCTTCTTTGTAATCTTAGGTCCTCCAAGTACGGGTTGTTTTTGGGTACTGCCACCACCCAGAAACAGTTGATAATTGTAATAGAGATATACAGAGCCCTTAAGAGTAGCCCTATGATAGAGATTAATATTTGTAATATAGATATATAAGGCCCTTAATAGTAGCCCTATCATAGACTGTTGCTGTATGGGGCAGTACCCAAGGTTGCTGTTCTTAGGCCTCATGTAAACTGAGAACCCTAAACCCGCGGGTTCCACTACGGGTATCTTCAGGGTTTAGGCGTGAGGTTTGGAGTTCACACCCAGCGGTCCCATAATGCAGAAACCTGAAATCCGGATACTGGCATTTAGACTTTATGGTTGTGGTCACACATATGGGTGGTTGTCAAAATTAAGGTCCCTTCTGGGTCCCTATTATGATACGGCACCCAGTATTTAGGGTACCCAGAAAGGGACTTTAATTTTGACAACTACCCATATGTGTAAGTGTATCATTCACGGCACAAATCCTTGACGATCCCTTCATGTGCCTATTGGCTTAAGATCTATAGTTCGGGAGTTAGGGTTTTGGGCTAGGGGTTTGACTGCGCAGTTTCAGATGTAAGAATCTAAGGAACATTTCCATGAACGGCCTTCTTGGGTCTCTCTGGAGGGTTTCGGGGTTTGGAGTTAAAGGCCGCTAAGGGGGGCTAGAGTTTGAGGAGTGATGGTGCTTGAAAGGCTTGGTACCCTAGGGATCAAAACAGCCCAAAAGCCTTATATGGTCTGGTCTTCGGGCCGAAAAGCCTTAATGCATGAGTCCTTAGATCCCTACGGGTAGGGCTGACCAGACGGTAGGGCAGCCAGCGTGAAAGTTGGATGATGACGTACTTCCGGTGAAGGTACAGTTTAGGGTTCAAGGTTTAGGTTTTAGGTTTTAGGTAATTACAATCTAGTAGCCTCAAGAGAAAGTCACCAGTTCATAGATAATGCAACTAGCGTACCTGGAGCATGTAATCAAAGCATGTCGCTTCCAGAACTGCTTGAGACGAATTCGGGTACATCTACGTAGTGGAAGTAAGTCGACTGTACTAAAAACCATGTTCCAGGTGGTTCTTGACTTTGATCAACAATAACCTATTGTGCTTTTTCAGACCCTAGCCTCCCAGATCCCAAAGCTTTAAATTGCCCAAACCCTGAATTCCCTAAACTCCCTAAGCCCTAAACCCTAAATTCCCTAAACCCTAAACCGCTCTAAACTCCAAGCCCCAACTCTAGTAGGCCGAGTCCTATATGCGAGGTTCGCCGTCATTGAGAACGAGTTTGGCGCCGTCCCTATCGACAACGAGCTCTTGGCCAACTCCGCAAGGGCCCTAATAAACAGTTTAAAGTTCTACTATACCGGCTACTACTATACACATTCAGGGTCACTATCAAGGGTTCTATAATGTGGAGGCGTCAATTCAACAAAAAAACAAAGGCGGTATTGCTAAAACACATCATGTTATATGGAGGCAAGTATGGTATTGGGCATAGTAGAACACATGTCTGGTCAGAAGCCGCAAGAATGTTGATTGCCTTGGATTCTCTCTCTCTCTCTCTCTCTCTCTCTCTCTATATATATATATACTTATGTATATAAATAGATACACATATATTGCATAAAGCTAGTGCACACAGATATTTGTCGAAATGACGGGTTCTTCAGTACGAAGGAGACCAAGGGACTCTGGAAGTGAAGTTGTAAGTAAGCTTGTAACTATCAGTTAGGGGAAAATTGCTTAGGGGGTTTAGGGTTTAGGGCTATAGACCCAATTCGGTTGATTTTAGCCTCCCGCAGAGCCTTCCTTCTAAGTGACCTTCGCTGGAATCCTCCTATCTCACTTCGCTCAACAACGAAGCCGCCGAGTGTGCACGATACAGGTAGTATGGAATCCTCAATAATTACTTGCATACCATTTTAATTTTATTTACAGCATGATATAACCCAAACCCTGGTGTATTTGTTGCGGCCACTGTATTGCCCCTAAATGCCAAACCTTGGCACGCCATAATCGTGGACACCGTCTAGGCCCTCGCACGATTTAGGGTTAGAGCTGCACTGTGCTCGGGGTTGCATTTTTCAGAAGCCTCTGCAAAAGCTGTTCTGCTAAACGCTTGTGGTTTTTCAATTTAGACCCTCAGCCCTTAGAGTCCCCTATACGGCACCATCCCACTAGCCAAGTCTGCAGACCTTAGAGGCGACTCGCATCAACGATCCTTCAGACAATATCTTAGTAGCTGAGTAGGCAGGTTGGAGCCTTCAGGAGTTTAGGGGTTAGGGTTTAGGGTTTAGGGATTAGGGTTTAGGGTTTAGGGATTAGCGTTTAGGGTTTAGGGATTAGCGTTTAGGGTTTGGGGTTAAGGGGTTTAGGGATATGGTAGAGACCTGATGAAACGATTAGTCTACATGTTGAACCCCTAGACCCCTAGACCCCTGAACTGCAAAGTTCAGGGTTTCCTACCCAGACCTTCCAAAATCCCTTAATTAAGGAATATACCTTAAATTGTAATAGGACCCCTTATATGAATTAAGGTATCTTCCTTAATTAAGGGATTTTGGAAGGTCTGGATAGACCACTCGTCAAACCGCTGAATCATTTTGAGGGGCTGAGTACCCTAGCCCAAAGAGGGTTAAGCTTTTCAATTATGGCAGGGTTATATATATGTACCCCAAAAGGTTAAAGCTAACCTGCTTGGCTCCTAAGATTTGCTTAGAAGGACAACAGGTCTTCTTCTTGAGCAGCAAAAGAACAAACGATCAAACGTTCAACCCAATAGCCGCCCATAACCCCCAAACCTCTCAACCGATCAACCTTGAGTTAACGCCAAAGAGGCTTAACGTCTAGAAGCTATTTGGTGTAGGTTTCGCTCTCTCCCGGAATGCTTGAAACTTATAAAGTAGCTTACAGGTTCTCACGCAGTTGGTCTGTATTGATGTAGATCACTTTCCATTGGGGTTAAAGCTTAAAGCTCTTAGCTTAATTCTGAAACTTTAAGCTCCTAGCTTCACCCTAACTAGGCCTCCCAGTGGGCCCTTTTCCCCTTTTTGCAGTCCTAGGTTCCTTATACAGTTACCCAATACCAAAAACGGAGCCCTTTTCATATTCCTAGGTTACTGGGCATCCTGGCCCAAAGCTCCCAACTTCTCCGTGGCAATAAATCTCTAAACTCTCAGCTTAGCTCTAAAACTTTGAACTCTTAGCTTAACTCTAACTCTAAATCTCCCAACTTCTAACAATATAGTATGGTCTTTCGTCCCAAAAACCTTTTTGTTGAGTCCTTAGATCCCTCGAGCTAGCCGAAACTCCCAACTTCTTCGAGGCCATACATCTCTAAACTCTTAGCTTAGCTCTAGAGCTTTGATCTCTTAGCTTACCTCTAACCCTAAACCCTAAAACCCTAAACCCCTCAACCCTCAACCCTAAACCCCTAAACGCTAAATCTCCCTAATTCCTAAATCCCTAAATCCTAAAACCCTAAATCCCGACACTCCTAAAACCCTAAACCCCTAAAACCCTAAACCCTAAACCCCTACAGCCCTAAAACCCTAAACCCTAAAACCCCTACAGCCCTAAAGCCCTAAACCCTAAACCCCTACAGCCCTAAAACCCTAAACCCAAAACCTCCCTAATTCCTAAAACCCTAAACCCTAAACCTCCCTAATCCCTAAAACCCTAAACCCTAAAAAACCCTGAATCTCCCCCAACTTCTGCGAGGCCATGGGCTTAGCGGAGCAGGTGGTTGTCATGGAGAATGGCTGCATGTGCTGCACCGTGCGGAGCCAAGGGCCGACTTTTGTGCTTCTTAGGGGCTCCTTTAAAGGGTGCCTTAAGGGTTCCTTTAAAGGGTGCTATAAGTTTTAAGGGTTCCTTTATTTGTCTTAGGGATTCCTTTGAAGGATGCTTTTTAGGGGTTCCTTTAAAGGGTACTATAATCAAAGGGGACAAGGAGGGAGCCTTGATGGGGACCCCTACCCTATAATGGGCTACATAATGGGTATATAACGGCTTTATTAAGGGTATATACCTAGGGGTCCTTAATGAGGGTTGCTCCTTTTACCCTTGGATATAAGGGTTCCTTTAAAGGGTTCTATAAGGGTTCCTTTCTGGGTGTTAGGGGTTCCTTTAAAAGATGCTATAAGGGTTCCTTTCTGGGGTCTCAGGGGTTCCTTTAAAGGGTACTATAAGAGCTCCTTTAAAGGGTCTTAGAGGTTCCTCTTAAAGGGTATTATAAGGGTTCCTTAGTTTCCTTTGTGGGGTCTACAGGGAGGCATAGGGCTGTGCTTGCCTAGGACCCAGAGTAAGCCCTTATTCCCGTTTTAGGGTTCAGGTTCCCTTATTAACCCGCTTTGAACCAAAAAAAGGAACCCTTTCTTTTCCTAGGTTACTCTTAGGTCTAGTTGCTGTATGCCCTCTGTATGGGTGGTTGTCAAAATTATAGTCCCCTTTGGGGTTCTACGACACCTAATCTTCAGGGTACCCAAAAAGGGACCATAATTTTGACAGCTGCCCTTTTGTAGGGTTTGGGGTTCAGGGTTTGGGATACGTTGTTACGTGTACTCCAACATAGGGCCCCAAAAAAGCACATAAGCAAAAATAGCGATAGGAATATCCCATATAAACCCCCTTATAATGAAGCCCAATAACTTAGGGATATCCCTATAAAATGCTTATGCTTACGTCCTTTTTGGGCCCCCAATAGCAGGGCGGAGCCTTGCTTGTTGGTTTCTCTTGCATCGGGGGGGCTGCTAATGTTACCATTTGTTTAATAGAAATATACCTACCTACCCCTACCCTACCCTACCCCTACCCTACCCTATCTACCCTATCTACCCTACCCTACCTACCCTAGCCTACCTGCAAACAGAGGAACCTGGGTCTCTATTGGTCTTCCCTGTATGGATCCGGATATCTGGTTTCTTAATCAGGTCCCTATAATGCTAGGCCTTAGGGATATGTTGCCATTTCCCTTATGGGGCTCAAGAGGAGGTTGAGGGTTTAGGGTTATCAGTATGGATCAACGATTATACAGGGCCAACCCAGTTGGTGTGTTGTTTTGCTGGGCTCGTTTAGGGTTCGGGCCGGTTTCCTCCTGGGGCATTTAGCCTTGGGGGTCAAGGTGGCTAAGGTTTGAGTCCTAGGACCTAGAGTAGGCCCTTATTCCCTTTTTTAGGGTTCAGCTTCCCTTGTAAGCCCCTTGAAACCAAAAAGGGCACCCTTTCTATCCCTAGGGTATTCTTGGGTCTAGAGTTTGTTGTTTGGTTGAAGGCTTGGCTTACATCTCCGTTGGGGCTGCGGGTTCGTCTCGGACCAGGGTTCAGGGGACCCTAAGCCCAAACCCTAACCCGGAATAACCGACCTTGTTAAGGACTTCTACAAAGAACTCATAATAAGGAACCCCCAAAAGGTAGGTCCTTCTGGGTTAAGGTAACCCTAAAGCCTTACATGTCTTGTGTGTTCGTGTTTATTCGGGGTTGAAGAAGTGGTGCCGAGACCCCAACGGGGATCCCAAAAGTAGATCCCTTACTTGGAGGATCTTGGGACTTAGTAAGTAAGGCTATAACTATTTTAATTGGGGTTATAAGTAAGCTTAAGTATAGTTACCTGATTTATAAGCCCACTTGCTAAGTCCCATGATCCAGTAAGTAAGCGATACTTTCAAGGTTCCTTTACGCGCTCCCATAAGGATCCTTGGAGGTTTCTTGTAAAGGGTTCCTTTAAAGGGCTACTGTAAGAATTCGATGAGGGATCCATGCGAGTTTAGGGTTTTAAAGATTTTAGGGTTCAGGGTTCCCGGAAGCACACTTTAGTAGCACAGGTTCCAAAATTGGGGGGAACTGCCCTTTTAGATCCTCCCATAGGTCTGGGTATAGCTGCAGGCTCCAGGCTCCAGGCCGAGCAGCATGATGCTTGTATTCATCGTTTGCAAACAAGGATGCATGCAGAAGCCGAAAGTAGTTCGCACCGCAGCAATGACGGCGCTACAGGTCCTTTTGCAGCTGCCCCTGAGTCAACCTCAAGACCAGGTGGCCAACTCTCGGAACTGCGCTCCAGGCCACCCTCCCCCATGACACCATATGGGCCCCTGACGCCTGGAGGAATGCAAGGATCTACCACGGCCTCAAGCGCAGGTGGACGTCCCATTGACGACCTTCAGCTGGTTACTGGAGGCTTCACTAACGCACGCCGGACAGATTTGCAAGACGAGATTAAGCCCTTCTTTAACGATCATGAGGGGCCAGAGGCCCTGAAGCAGGTTCATGTTCCCTATCTCAGATCCAATATCGCCAGGATTGAGCTAAACTTTCCCAACACATCGGGCCTGGCTCAACGTCGACAAGTCCAGTCGCAGGTTCTGCAGATTCTGAAAGAAAACTACAAAACCAGCATACAGAAGCAAGACACGACCAAACTGTGGTTTCAGCGCAATAGGTCGCCAGAGGACAGGCAGATCTACTTTCTAGATCCCTTCGGGGTCCGCGAACAGGCTCCTCCTGTGCTCATGTTGTTCTTCACAGGGAGGGCTGGCCGGTCATCTGCTAACTCATCCCGAACTCGGATGAGGAGGCACGCAGGCCCCTAAACCCAAAACCAGTTGATGCTCCCCTTTTCTTTGTCATAGTTGGGCAACATTTTACATTTTTATGGGTACTTACACCCAATGAGGAATAAAAATGTAATTTTATAATCCGACCCCAACTATGAACTAGTGTTGTCGGAGTTTGGGGTTACGTATGTGCGGCGTAACTTAGGGCCTATGTTATAGGTTCTATGTTCCTTTGTTAGATTTTGTAAACTGGAGAGAATGCTATGTTCCGTAACCTAGAGGGGGTCCATGCAAATTTTTCCCCTCCCTAAACCCCAAACGCCTAAGCCCTAAAACCCTAAACCCTAAACCCCTACTCTGAATAACTTCGGGAAGCCGCAACTTTTTAGTTCGGTACTTGGGCCCTCCGACACCTGAACTCCAACAGCGAGCAATATGGGAGTTTCCGAAAATTAGGGTACCTTATTTGGGGTCCTGATAATACGGATCCTATTATCTAGGGTACTATATTAGGGTCCCCTGTTTTCGGAAACTCCCATATAGCAACCCGAAGAAATTTCTTGGATAGAACACTCCAGGGCGCCATATTCTTAATGCCCTAAAAGACCCCTAGTATATAACCCTTATAGACCCCGTTTACGGAACCTTTCACTTCACAAAAACCTAAACCCTAAACCAGAGCACGAACCCTATATTACCATATAAAGCCCGTAATATACCCGTAACAGCATCCTTTTAAAAGAACCCTTCGCACAAAGAAGTACTTTTCCTGCTTTTTTATGCCTCTAAACATAAGGTGCGAGGAGATCTTCTCGGTGCTTTTGACGCCATCCGCAGGAGGCTCAGGACAGCGAGGGCCTTTTAGGGCTTAGGTTTTGTGGTCTAGGGTTTAAGGTTTTTGAGAGCTTAGGGCGTCAGTTTTGTGGTTTAAGGTTCAATGTTACAAGTTTAAAGCCAAAGGTGTTTTAGAATTTAGAGTTTAGGGCTTAGGTTTTGTGGTTTAGGGAGTTTAGGGCTAGGGCCATGACTTCTGGTCTATGTTATGTTGGATTTGTTGAGCTCACAGACGGGCTGACAGGGCTTGTTCTGCTTGCGAAGCAAGCTAGGATGCCCAGTAGTACCCTTATTCCCTTAATGTAGTCCTAGGTTCCTTATAAAGTTACCCAATACCAAAAAGAGAGGCCTTTTTATTCTTAGGTTACTGGGTATCCTAGTTATTCATGCCGGAGTATAAGGATCCTGTGAAGGCATGTCAGTTGCTTCAGATGGCCTTACCTAGGACCTAGAGTAGGCCCTTATTCCCTTTTTTGGGGTTCAGGTTCCCTTATAAGCCCCTTTAAACCAAAACGGGCACCCTTTTTCTTCCTGGGTTACTCTTGGGTCTAGTTTCAATTCTACATATGTAGTCAGTCAATAAACATCGGTAAATAGTTAGTTAGATACATAAACGAACATGAACATTATCTATATGTACTAACATATAATCACATTTGCATGTACATATCAATACATGTATATTCTACATCTACATACACATATATATATATATATATATGAATATGTACATACATGCTCATGAACACGTGTGTGTGTGTGTGTGCATGTGCATATATAAATATATATAGAATGTGTATGCATGGATTTGGACTTTCGGTGGGCTGTGGGTTTGTGTGGAAAGATGTCTGTGGGTCTTTGGCGCGTTTTCGGTTTGGCTGTTTGTGGGTTTGTAAATACTTGACCCAAGCTTGGCCAACATGGTACAGGTAAGATCCTGACAAAAAGGAACCACTCACCCCACAGATCGCATTAAGGTGTGGCGATGTGACTACAAGGGCCTCGTAATTCAGAGTAGGGTTTTTGGATGTTTTCGGTTACATCAAGTAATCGACTGGCTGTGTAGGTGGTTTTTGTATTCTGGATTCAGGTTGGTTGCCTTATGGTGGTAACTTAAACTACATTCCTGAACAAGGGCCCAGTACTCATTTTTCACACGCCGGCATTACAGCCTTGAGCCTGGCCACGGGTTGCTTTCAGGGTGGTTGAAACATGGAAGGGACAAGTGAGCCCAGAAGCACTCGACGTTGTTTTAATGTATTGCGGGCTAGTGGCTTAGGGTTTAGGGGTATTGCAGGCTCGGGGCTCGGAGTGTTGGCTTGTTCTGCTTTGGGAGTAAAACCGCCGGTTGCACGCAGAATACGTCAAGCTTATTTGCCTGGCTAACCCCTAAACCCCTAAACCCTCTAAACCCCTGACCCTCTAAACCCCCAAAACACCTAAACCCTCTAAACCCCTAAATCGTGTGAGCAAGGTCGGCAGATGAAGTCGGGCAGCCCGCTGGATGCGGTGCTCGTGCGCTCCATACTATGGAGGGGTTTGGTGGTTTTGAGGTTTTTTGGATTTAGGGTGTTAGGGTTAGCATTTTGGGATTTAGGTGTTTAGCGGTCTAGAGTTTTGAGCCTTCGGATTTCTTTTGGGGTTTTAGGTGTAGGAATTTCTCCGGGCCTTGGGTTTTGGAGGTCTAGGTTAGAAGCTGCCCCCACCCTGTAATAGTGGTATAATGGGAATATAATAGGGCCCTAATATAATCATATATAATCCTTATAGTCACTATTACAGGGTGGGGGCAGCTTCTAAGGTCTAGGTGTTGGGGTTTGGAGGTTTTGGGGCTTGTTGAGGGGTCAAAGGCCTGAGATATGTGAGCTTGTTTGTTGTTTTACGTTTGGGGTCGAGGTCCGGGTGGGTTCCAAGCGTCTACGGGTGTGTAGGGCTTGGCTGTCCTTTGGGTGCCTTCTTGGACTTAAACCTGCTGGGTTTCTCTGTAGTCGACAATAATGGAGGTTTAGGGTTTAGGGTTGGCTAACTTTATAGTAGTGATCAATATTCTCGGCCGCATCTCTTGGGAGAAAGTCCAGAATCGCCTGGTCAGTGTTCTGACTGTACAGAGGGAGCATTGCCTGGCGGAAGAAACCGATGATCCCTACTACCCCATGAGCTGGTGGGAGAAGCAAGGCTTTCCGACCGAGAAAGTGGAAGCCAATGGCAAGAAGGGGGCTTGTCCCGTCTTTGGTACAGTGTACTCAGCCCCGCTTTTCCGTTGCAAGCAGAGCAGTCGCAGCAAACTTACGGAGAAGTTCCTTTCGGACCACATGGAAAAGCAGAACCTAAAGAAGCTACGGAAGAAGGCCACGAAAAAGGCACCGGGTACGGTGCCGACACGTCCTTCCCCTCCTGTGAGTACGAAAACCCGCCAGGAGTCGCCCATCTCGATTGAGGATGGGCCCATCGATCGCTAGCGCGTTCCAAAACCTATTATTTACTTAAATCCTAGAAAAATGACCTACCCTGGAAGGATTTAAATATTATGGAAAGCATAATAAGGAGCCCAATAATGGCAGCTTGTACAGGGTCCAGCATTCAGGTAGTTTTTGATGATGATTTCAGGCTGCCGGCGGCTAAGCCCAACTTTCGGACTTTATGGTCACAGTGCATAGAACCCGGAACCCCGAAATGCGGCTAAGTCGTAAAGTCTAAACTTGAATTCCTAAACCATACAGGGCTGAGGGGAAACGCGAACCAGAAACCCAGTCCCCCAACACCCCCAACAGCCTGGCTTTTTAAGGATTCATACAGGGAAATCATATTTCGGAGCCCTGACGGGTGGGATCGGCGGGGTTCCGGTATACCCCATACCTTAAACGCTGAAACCCCATCAGGTAAACCCTGAAATCCTACAAAGAGGATCATGGGACTTGTTATAGATAAGATAGCTATACTTGTAGATGTACGTCTAACTGCCCCAATTGAAATTACTTATGACCCTACTTACTAAGTCCCATGACCCTCCAAGTAGGCCCTAAGCCCTATAAACCCTATAGATGCATTTAAGGAACCTTATAGATCCAAAGTCCCACGACCCTCCAAGTAAACCCTGAAATCCTAAAACCTCAGCTCATGTTCCTTACTGTGAGTTCCAAATTAGGGTCCCTTTTTGGGTCCCTAATATAATACGGCACCTAATATTTAGGGTACCCAACAAGGGACCATAATTTTGACAATCACCCATACATGCGTTATTTGGGGCTGAGGTAAACCCTGACGGTAGTCTCCAAGCCCATGTTGCGAGGTCGAGACGACTGGAATGGCAGACCCGGTCCCAATCGTCAGGACTGGACTCGGGTTTTGGAGGGGTTTTAGGGCTCCTTTCAACGGGATCCTTTAAGGGCTCTTTTTGGGGTTTAGGGTAACAGGTGTGTATTTTGGAGATTTCTAGGCTTGCGGGCTCGAGGCTTTCGGGGTTTTAGTTTAGGTTTGAAAGCTTGGGGTTCTAGGTTTAGGAGGGCAGCGAGGGCGTTGAGGAGACACCAGAAGAGGCAACTTTCTTCGATATGTTTGCCTTGGAGGCAAACGAGGTTCAGATCCGGGAAATCTACAACGTGTTCGACCCAATGTCAATGCTTCCGCGTCCGACCCAGAGAGCCCAATACCCCTTGATTAAGGAATATGGCTCAAATCATATAGGGCTGCATATGATTTAAGCCATATATTAAGGGGTATTGGGCTCTCTGGGAAGACCCAGATTGTGGACTTCTGTGCTGGGTTCTCCACTGCCCTTGCAGCTATTCGGGACAGGCGGCCTTACACTGGCTATGTTTGCAGCGACCCGGTCCGATCGGTCATTCTGGAGGGCTCTTACTTGAAGTGTACCTCCGCATCCAGGCGGCGGGGTTCAAGGTCACTATTACTATTATTACTACCAATACCATTACTACTACTCTTAGTATTACTCTTAGTATTACTCTTACTCTTGGTATTACTATTACTATTACTATTATTACTATTACTATTAACAACATTACTATTCCTACTATTACTATTACTTGTACTATTACTGTTACTATTAGTGTCGGCACGAGCGGTATCTCTTCAACCGCACTGACAAGGGCACCAAGTCTCGGCGGGGACCATGCCACGGACGTCGGTGTCGACAACGGGGGTTTGGGGGTGCTGGCATAGGGTCCCAATCGTCAGGACAGCTTCCAGTGCCTCTATGAGTAGAGTTGGCGCGAAATAAGCTCCCCAGACCTTCCAAAATCCCTTAATTAAGGAATATACCTTAAATTATATTAGGACCCCTAATATGAATTAAGGTATATTCCTTAATTAAGAGATTTTGGAAGGTCTGGGTCATAAGTCACACAACCCCAGCCTCGATTCATAATCCGAGCTGTAGAGGTAACCTGCGTACTAAGCACCTTGATCATTTAATGTCGCCACCTGATTCAGAAACCCCTCTCTTGACACGGCCCAATACCAGGAGCCCTTTTATGTCCTCCTTACATGAGGTTCAGTAATCACGGGTTAGTAGCTGAGTCGGTTACCTTTAACCATTTGGGGTTTATACAAACTTACCATAAGTTCACATGTTAACCGTTTTCGGGCTAGGGTACTCCTAAACCAACAACCCTAAACCCCAACCCCCAGAACCCTAAACCCCACAACCTTAAATCCTAGACCCTAAAATCCGTAACCTTAAACCCTAAACCGTGGGTACTCAACATTAAACATCCGAGCCTGCCTCCCCCAACCAATCCTGAGCCGGAAGTTTCGCTTGCTTGAACCAACTTGGGCTTCTGCATATACGTGTCCAAAAATATGGGGGGGTTCAGAAGATAGGGGACCCTAAGAGAGTACCTCTGAATAGTAGCCTTGTTATAAGGACCCCAGAATAAGGTACCATTCGGGAACTCCCATGTCCCAGACTTCAGAAGGAGCCTTGAACATAAAATAGAAAAAGCCCCAAAGATTCTTCAACACGCCTTGAAGACCAAACCCGAAACCGACTACATTACTCCCAAACCCTGAACCCACGATATTGGTCCTAAACCCCAAATCCACTCCAATACTCTAAAGCCCTACTACATTACTCTGAAGCCCCAACGCCACTATATCACTCCTACGCCCTAAAGCCACGATATTATATACTCCTTGGGGCTCATTGTGGAGTCGGAGATTTCGGGACTGAAGTTGCCCCCCCCCCCCCCCCCTTGAGTGTCCTAGGTAGTATGAGGGAGATCCGGGAGACCCCATACAGGGGACCGTTCTTAACCCTACGCTTGGCTCTCTTAAAGAGGACCTTATTGGGAGGGTCTACATTCCCACTGGTCTCCGGCCCGGAGCGTTCACATAACCAGCACTAACAGTATCCACCTGCAGTGCCCAATACACTGGTAGCCACAATATGCCCAAACCCTTAGCATACCCTTATCGTCCATAGTATTGTTCGTATAACTTGCAACCACAGCACTATTCTGGCTATGAAGACCCCAACGTTTCAATTTCTCCGCTCGCTGCCAAGCCTACTTAGTAGCTGAGTGGATACACTTTACACTTTTTGTGGTAATTTTGCCCGTTATTTCCACTGAAAGTGTACACTTTTTAGGGCTTAATCAATTCACAATAGCTGAAAGGACCCTACGGCAGACGCCGGAAATTGCCCAGAGCCCAAGCCCGGTTTGCAGTCTGGGTTTCTGAGTTTAGACTTAGGATGTGGGTAGTTGTCAAAATTAGGGTCCTGTTTTGGATACCCTAAATATTAGGTGGCGTATTGTATTAAGGACCCAAAAAGGGACCCTAATTTTGACAACCACTCATGTAAGGTTCATTCTTACTTGGTCGATGAAGGACGGTTGGACTTCTTCTGTATGAACAGGCTCGAGGCTTTTTGTTGTTTTTTGCCTAGGTTGTCGGTCGGTATCCTTCGTTCAGGTTTGGGTTCATGGGTTCCCAGTGTCCCAGTATCTTACCCTTAATTTCTGTCTAAGCTTCTAAACCTGACGCTCGGAAGCGCATGTAAGTTGTTGTGAGTTTGAGAGGGATTGAGATCAAAACCACTTCAACTTAGACCCTAAACCCGAAGCCTGAAACTCCTATTCCCTAGCCGCGGTCAAAACCTAAGCCTAGATTCGGGGTGTAGGGCTTATAGGGCTTAAGTCTAGGGTATCCTAGAGCCGAAAGCAAAGTGTATCTGAACCTAAACTACTAAATCCTAAACCCCAAAGCAAAGGTTCAGCTAATACGACTCTAGTCGGCAATCAAAACGACTTGGGGCCCAACACAAGAGTTGCCGCTTTGGGTTCAGGGTTTAGGGTTTTTCAGTGTCAAGGGCAAGCCATAGGTCTGGATAAGTAGTAACAATATGGTTTGACATGGGTTCTGTTCAAGGAAGCTAGGGTTGTGGTAGACAGGTCTGGTGATTCTTATCGTCCCCGCATGTAGTAACTGAACAAACTATATACCCTCAAACCCTGTTGGTTCACGATTAGGGCCCATTTGAGGCTGTAGGGCTGCTTCCCAGGTTCTAAGCACTTAGTCTGAGAGCCTTTACTTTGCAGCTGCCTTTGCAAGAAATTAAGACGCACTGGGCATAGAATGAAGCGCTGGACGCTGAAACGAACCCTCACCACAACCCTGAACGAGTTGGCTTTCTTTGCTCATAAAGTTAGAGGACGACAGGCGAGGCGAGATGGAAAGTCTCCGCTCACACGTTTCAAGTGACGGCCTAGTTCTCCTAGTTCCGCGAGCAGGCCAAGTTGATGCGTTTCGTGGGTAATCTACCTGTACAATGCCAGCCATGAAACCTTAGTGACGCGAGGGAGCTGCACAGGTAAGTGTAGGAAGCTCAACGTATACCTTTACTGAAGAAAAGCGCTTTTCTTGAAGAGCCTTATGAATATGAGGATCCTTAGTATATGTATCAAGGGATGTGCTTTATCGCTAAGGGCCCTGCATTGCTCCAACCCCACTTTCATTGCAATACTCTCGTAAAAGCCGTTGAGTGCCTGCTCATGTTGTTCTTTTGGTGTAGTTTTTGATGGACTGAGGCAAGGTACTTCCAACTGGACCGGGCCTCAACTCATTCAATTTGGGTTATCCTGGGATTTCTGGTTACGGTTCGGGGTCTACGGCTTGGGCTTACGGGGTTCACCGCTTCGGGTTTAGGGGTTAGGGTCGGGGGTATAGGGCCCATGCTCCGGCAATACAGCAGGAGAATACGGTTTAGGGCTTCGGGTTGCCAGTGGTGTCAACCAGAGTTGGCTTCCAGTTCTCAAAGTTCTTGCATCCCTTGAGCAAGTCACGGCGCTCAGCTGTTGGAACTAACCCTTAAATCCTAACCCCATATAAACCCTGAACCCTAAATCCATAAACCAACAAGCCCTAAACCATAAACCCCTAAACCCTACACCCATAAACGCTTATAAACCTTCAAACCTCAACACAGAGACTTCGACATCCACACAGCACTGAGAAATCTTACTTTAGACCATATGCTGGACACCTCGCAAGCTCAAGGCATATGGCTTGAGTACTATAGAGGCCCAAATAATGCACCCAATGCAATTTTTGGTGGTTCCTTGTTTAAATTACCGTGTAGTGGGCCCCAAGACCCTAGTCTAATTATCAAGGCGCCAATACTTAACCCTTGTAGTGGCCCGAAAAGTAGGTCTTATAGTAACTGTTATAGACCCCTTTAAAACTAGGACCAAGAGTAGGCCCTTATTCCCTTTTTTAGGGTTCAGGTTCCCTTATAAGCCCTTTAAACCAAAAAGGGCATCCTTTTTATGCCTGAGTTACTGTTGGGTCTAGAAAAGGAATCCTTTATAAAGTAGGTCTTAAAGTAACTTTTACAGACCGCTGTAAGAGGAATCCTTGAAAGGAGCTCCATTCTTATTAGTAAGGCCCCTGTAATAGGTACCCAGACCTTCCAAAATCCCTTAATTAAGGAATATACCTTAATTCATATAAGGGGTCCTATTATAATTTAAGGTATATTCCTTAATTAAGGGATTTTGGAAGGTCTGGGCAGGGAGCCCGCTTCTCCTGAATCCAGAAGCCCAAGGCCCGAAGCCCGAAATCCCAAGCCCTACAGTAGAGGCCCAAAAGTGTAGTTGGCAAAATTAAGGTCCGTTGTTGGGTCCCTAAATATGAGGTGCCGTAGTATATTAGGGACCCAAAAAGGGACCATAACTTTTGACAACCACCCTTACAAAAAAATGAAACCCGGGTTTAGCACATGCTCCTGAACCCTAATCTGGGCTTCTTCTACCCTAAGACTCCAAAGAGCCCAAAGTAAGTCCTGTTTGTATACTTGCAGTCTTAGGGTCAAGGAATTCAAGCTACTATCATAGGGATCTGTGGTAAATATCTGGGTTCCCCTGTTATGGTAAGTTAAACTAAGTTCCTGAGCCCAGAACACTCATAAAACCCTTCAAAAGGAAGCGGCCCTAAGTGCTGGTATCCTCAAAGAAATTCGTTAAGAAGATCCCTATAATGGAGCAACTTGATAAAGTTCTAGAGTCTTCTGAGGCATGAGTCCTTAGTTCTGCAACACCCATCTTTTTCACAAGCTTTTGGGTTCTTATTGTAGTTTTAGAAGTAATCGGAAAGTCTAGCCTTTTATTTCTGTGGTATATTGGGAGTATGTAGGGCTTCTTGTGCAGCAACAACTCCCGAAAACCAACAGGTAAAACCTCGCACCTACTCGAAGCCCACTTGGGGTACCAGCCTTACTTACTAAGCCCCGTGATCCTCCAAGCAGGCCCTAAACCCTAAACCCTATAGATCCCTTTAAGGAACCCCTACAGATCCCTTTAAGGAGCCCTTACCTTACTAAGTCCCATGATCCTCCAAGTAAACCCTATAGACCCCTTTAGGGAACCTTTTAAGGAACCCTCATAGAAACTCATAAAATTCTAATACAGAGCCCTACTTACTAAGTCCCATGATGCTCCTGTATTTTAAGGCATAATCCCTAAATCTTAAACCCTTAATTAATTTATAGAACCCCTATAGATCCCTTCAAGGAACCCTTTCAAAGATCCCTTGAAGGAACCCTTTAAGGGGAACTCCAGAAAGTTGGAATATGGAATAATGGCAGGATCCCCTATAATTTACCTTAAAGGGAGTATGATAATGATATTCCAACTTCCTGGCTTCTACTACCCTAAACCCTAAACCCTTTTGAAGATCCCTTTAAGGAACCCTTTAAGGGCTAGTTTCGAGCCTATGAGGACGGGACCATCACTCTGGTAGACTCCAAAACCATCCTGGACCGACTGGCGGAGTGCTCCGCCGACGAGGAGGCTCAGGCCGGGTACCCCAAGGGCCTTAAAGGGACCTATGGGGGGTTCCTTAAAAAGGGATCTATAGGAAATAGGGCCGGGTACCACAAGGGTCCGAAATATTAGGGTTTATGGGTCTACTTGGAGGATCATGGTACTTGGAGAGGGTTCCTTGAAGGGCTCCTTAAAGGGATCTGTAGGGTTCCTTAAAGGGATCTACAGGATTTACGTAAGGGTTGGGTACAAAATATTTAGGGTTTATGGGTCTACTTGGAGGATCATGGGACTTGGTAAGGGTTTCTTAGAGGGCTCCTTAAAGGGATCTATGGGGGTTCCTTAAAAAGGAATCTATAGGGAATAGGGTTTAGGGTCTACTTGGAAGCCCTACCCCCTCTAAAACCCTAAACCTTAAACCCTAAACTCTAAACCCTCTCAGGATAATGGGACTTAGTAAGTAAGGGTTCCTCAAAGAGCTCCTTCAAGGGATCCGTAGGGTTCCGTAAAAAGGATCTATAGGGTTTAGGGTTTAGGGTCTACTTTCAGGATCATGGGGCTTAGCAAGTAGGGTTATAAGTGCCCTAATTGGGGTTATAAGTAGTTTTATAGGTAGGGTTGCCTCATTTATAACCCCACTTACTACGTCCCATGATCCTTCAAGTACCCAAAGGGTCCGAAATACAAAAATTTGGTGCAAAGTAGTTAGGGTTTCTAGAGGTACTTAGAGGGGTTTAGGATGGGGGTGTGGGGTTGAGGGGTTAGGGTTAGGCGTTTAGGGGTTTAGTTTTGGATTTTAGAGGCTTCCGGGAACCCAAAGGGTCCGAAGTAGGCTTGCTACAGTAGGGCTTACTTGTATGGTTTGAGTAAGTATCTCGCATACAAGTACTTGTAGGGGTATGGGGTATGGGGGTTTAGGGTTTTTGGCTTTTGGGGGGGTTCAGGGGTGGGTTGCAGAGCTCAGAGGTTTTCAGAGTTGCTTTCGGGCTCACGCTTTTTTGGGTTTTGGGTTTGACTTGTTCGGGCACGAGGGTTTAGGGTCTAGGGGTTTAGGGCTCAGGCGTTAGAGTATAGGACAAAGTATCGGGTTCAGGGTTTGCCGCTTTGGGAGGTTAGGGGCTTGGAGTGTAGGGTTTACAGAAGCCCAATTCGGAGGAGCGGCATTCCCAGATCTCTTTCGCGGACAAGATCCTTCTGAACAAGCTTGACCTTGTCGAGACCTTAGAATCGGCGTCGGTGTTTGATGGGATCCGAAATCGACACCCAACAGAATCCTATTGAGAACCCGCAAACCTTTATCTAGAAAGCTTAAGATCCTTGAAAGACCCTGTGCGATTCGAAGCAATGTAGACACCTGATTCCAAAACAGGTTTTCAATTCGGGGACTTAACAGTGGGATCCCTGCTAGAAGCCTTGTTGAGAAAATAATGACAAAAGTGAAGGGTTTCAAGTTCCTGTATTTCGCATACAACTCCCTAAGTATCAACATATCCATACAGCTTACACGTAGGGCTAGAACGTGGTTGCTATGAAGTAATTTGGGGGTTTCCGAAAATTGGGCACCCTAATATAGTGCCCTAAATAGACTTAGTAGGATCCTGATTACAAGGACCCCAAAGTAAGGTACCCCTAATTTTGGGAAACCCCCGTTTTGGGGGCCCAAAGATGTCCAAGGCATTTATTGTAGTGTAGACCCCTTCTTAACTAGGAGGCCCAGTAGTACCCTTAGTCCCTTTTGTAGTCCTAGGTTCCTGATTAAGGTACCCAGTACCAAAAAGGGAAGTTTATTCCTAGCTGTATCCTTTGTTTCTCTTATGGTTTGTCCTAATTTTCTCCTATGCTATTCGTATTTTTCCTCCTATTTTCTCCTACTGAGTTTACTTTCCCATGTTCCCCTATTTCTTTCTTATGTCCTATAAACCCTTGAGTCCTATTTACTTCCGATTTTTCTCCTATTTCTGGAAATCATGGTTTCTTTAGACAGCACCCCTGAGGTTGACATAATGCTAAAAAGACATGCATGCCACTACAAGGGAGCTTCAGAGAATAGAGGAGCGCAGCGCACGCCATGAGTGGTAGGAGTTTTAGTATCGGAACCCCTTGGGAGGGCCCTGACCTGGAGTAGGCCCTCATTCCCTTTTTAAGGGTTCCAGATTCCTTATAAGCTCCTTTAAACCAAAAAGGGCACCCTTTTTATTCCTATGTTACTGGGTCTAGTAAGCTTGGAGCCCTTGCAAAGCATCTTTAAGACTTAGATGGTGGACGGGGTAACTTTAAACTGTTTGCACTTATATATTAGCTCTATCTTAGAAGGTTTGAACTTTTGGGGGCCCGGTTGTTGAAGAAGAGAGAAGATCCTGTTTTAGCCAGTTCTAATGACCCTACTTCCCAAAACTTCAATCATCCAAGACATGGAGCCCTTGAAAGAAAGGCCTACCCCAGAGGCCCCAGAAGATCAACCTTATTAGAGCTGCTGGACTTCTTGGTACCATCTGAAGCCAATAGAAGAGTCCCCCTTTGCGGTGGTCTGTTGAATGCACGAAGAGGTTTGGGTAATAGAACCCTACCGCATCCCAGCAAGCACCCTGTTGACATCCCTTAAAAGGCGCTCGTCCTGAACCCTAAACCCTAAACCAAAAATGTGCGGCAAGGTCACTGACCAAGAGGTGGCTGAGGTGGGGTCCCTGCGAGCAGAGTGCAAGACAAGGTTGCTGTTCATTTCGTTTCGAATATAGATCCCTTAAAGGAACCCTTATAGAATCCTTTCAAGGAACGCAAGATAGGGTCGCTGGTCATTTTCTTTCAAAAAGACGGTGCAGTACCCAGAGAGCCCCATACCCCTCAAGTAGGAATACACCTTTAGTTTAATGAATCCGGCTCTCTTGGCATGCTTATACATTTTTTTGAGGGGGGGGCTCATGGTCGAAAACCAGCAATAGGATGGGCGTCGTCATCAAGGGGTTGCTGCCGAACATAGACAGCCGTTTTGCCTAGGTGCGTGGGCTTTGGGAGCTTGGGAATCAGTATCGGGCTCCGTGTTCAACGCGTAGGGTTTGGCTGTTCCGGGCGTACTTGCAACCCACAAAACTCTGAAACCCTGTAGAGCCCTCAACTTCAAGCCACCAAAAAACACCAAAAGCCCAGACCTGAAAGCCCTAAACCCCACAGCCCCCAACCCCTTCAAAGACCTCCTTGTTTGTTGAGAGCTTCTGTTGGCAAGCTTGGTTGTGCACGGGGCTTTGCTCATGAACCCGACAAGGACGCAGAAGATCCTTCAATCAGTACGATTCTAATGCCCTGTGAAAACCCAAGTAAAGCCCTTACACAACAAACACCATAGAACCTAAGCCCCAAATCCGCAGCCCTTTGCCCTAACACAACATTACAGACCTATGTAGCTACAAGTCTGGCGAAATCCCATAGACGTCTAGTGAAACCTGAAAGCCCTATGCACAACAGAAGAATCAAATTTGACACCAAAAGCCCAAACTTCCAATTAAGACCCTTGCAACAATTTTTGCAAAACCACTTAGACGCCTCACAAAAATGCGGTAAAGCCCTAAACCTTAAACTCTTAACCTTCTTTTAGAAAAGACCAAAACCTTAAACCCTTAACCCTGTATATGCAAGGAAAACCTTTCATAAAAAACTTCAGAAAAAAAGCGCCCAAAGTATCAAGATATAGGCATTACTACCTGAAGCCCAAAGTATACGCAACCCTTACCCTAAAGCTCAAAATGGCCCCAAAAGCCTAACATGGTCGTTGGGCCCAAAAGCCTTAAAATATGAACCCTAAACCCTGAACCCCAAACCGTTGAGTCCTTAGAGCCTTAGGGTTAGGGTTGATGAAAAATATACGACAAGCCCTAAGGGTCCATGATATACTATTGGCCTTAAAGTAATCCCTATATAGGTACATTGCGGCCTAAGTTTATACTATTTGGGTACATGGACCCTTAAACTATAGAACCCTTTTATCCCTTTAGAACCCTGATAGTAACCCTTAGAGTACCCTTAAGGGAACTACTATTTGGGTATACATGGACCCTTAGGGAAGCGGAGGTCTGGAGCCGAATACGCTCGTACAACGAGACGGCGCCCATCGTCCCCTCCGTGAAGGGCGTGGGGAGCCCGAGAGCAGATCGGAGGCTTCAAAACCCGAAGGGTCCTATGTTGATCTACTATTTGCTTAAGAACCACCAAAAAATAAAGAACATATATTCCTTATGGGGGTAATATAGGGGTTATTATTTTTTTTATTTTTTGGGTGGTTTCTTAAGCAAATGGTAGTCATTGCCCTTTTGCACCGAACCAGAACCACAGGGTTTAGATCCACAGGGCTTGTTCGACAGAGTTGGCTTTTAGAGACTTTTAAGAACTTTAAAATACATAGTAGTAATTCCTAATATAGAAACCCTACATTCTACTATATCGGTACTTTGGACCCTTTGGGAAAACCTTAGATCCCCCAAAGGGTTTGGGCTTCAAAACCCCAGACCTTCCAAAATCCCTTAATTGAGGAATATACCTCAAATTATTATAGGACCCCTTATATGAATTAAGGTCTATTCCTTAATTGAGGGATTTTGGAAGGTCTGGGACCTTAGATCCCCCAAACGGTTTAGGGGTTAGGGGTTTAGGGTGTAGGAGTTTAGGGTTTTAGGGTTTAGGGGTTTGGGGTTAGGGACCCCAAAAGCACATAAGCATAAGCATTTTATAGGGATATCCCTACCTTATTGGGCTTCTTCTTAAGGGGGTGTATATGGGATGTCCCTATCCTCAGTTTTGCTTTGTAAACGTAGTAGTAGAGTAGGCAAACTTTAACCTTTTTTGGGTAGTATAGCCCTTATATAATCCCTATATCCCTAAAAGGTTAACCTTTAGTTCCCATGATACCCGACAAGTAGGAAAAGGTGGATGAAGGCGTACTTAGGGTCTGTTTTTTCGGTGTTTAGGGTATGTTTTTGTTGGTGGTTTAGGGTTTGATTTTGGGACTTAAGGTGTATTTTTTGGGGTTTAGGATTTGTTTTATAGGACTTAGTGTGTATGTTTAAGGTTTAGTTTTGTTTTGTGTTTAGGGTGATTTTTTTGGGGGGATTGGGGTTGAGGGTCTGGGATAGGATTAGCGATCCCTTATATGAGGACTCAGATGTGGGATTACCCCACCTAGCTTCATCTCACCTTTGGAGCGCTTTGAGAACTTTTTCTCTCTCTCTCTCTCTCTCTCTCTCTCTCTCTCTCTCTCTCTCTCTCTCTCTCTCTCTCTCTCTCTCTCTCTCTCTCTCTCTCTCTCTCTCTCTCTAGGATTTCGATCGGGTTTAGGGTCCGAGCGGGTTGAGATTTAGGGTTTAGGGGTTTAGGGTTTAGGGTTAGGCCTTGGTTAATTGAGGGTATAGGGTTTCTACAGTAGAAGCCCAAAAGTTGGAAACCCAACAGCCTCAATCCTTAAGGAAAATGTACAGGGGAGCTATTGGGCCTTAATCCGGTTTCCAACTTTATGGGGATCACTGTAGGAGGCTTTTGACAGGATACCATTGACGCTAGGTTTCAATGGGTTTAGGCTCCAGCATTTACAGTGAAAGGTTTAAGGGTTTTAGGCTTGGGGGTTGGGGGGTTTGCCCAATCGGTTCGGTTTAAGGGGCTTTTCCTGGCAATCATGGTTACGTGATTGAGTTGTTTAAGTATGTTCTTGATATGGTTTTAATTGAGTTTTAGGTAGCTTCGTACACGTTTCAACCGGGTTTTGGTAGGATGTTCATGCGTTTTTTTGTTTTGAGGGTTTGGTGTTTCGCTAAAAGATTTTGGTAGGATTTCGTCAGGTTTGTTTATAGGTTTCGTTTAACTAGCATCGCTGCTCAGCAATTCTGGAGGTCTTTCTTCCAAACTGATCAGGGACGTTCTGGTGGGGCCACTTGTGGCAGTGGAGGTGGCTTCGGCGGTGGCATCCAGGACAGGCGAATTGGTACACCGCTGCATGCAGATGGCTTGGGCGGTGGCATCCAGGATAGGCGAGTTGCTGCAACATGCACATGTAAGAAGCCCACGCGCTCTCTCCATCCGTGGGCGCGCATCAGCTCGCGCCTGGTGTTTGCTGACTTCGCTCCCCAATACCTAAACTTCTTGGGCTCTTATAGTTTAGTAGGTATCGGAAAGTTTAACCTTTGTTTATGTGATTTATGTGGCTTATTGGGGTAGTAAGCTGATATGCACCCCATACAAGAACATCTGGAAGTCCGACAAGCCCGAGGCACCGGCCGATCGCGCTCTTCCCAGACATCCTGAACCCTAAGCCCGAGAAAGACTTCGCAGGCTTGATGGGCCATACGAACCTACCTCCTGGAAAACCCTAAAGTCTAAGTCTTAAACACTACTTACCTGCCCTTGAAAGTCCTATAGTAAACCCAAGAAAGTTGGAACATAGATTTTGGATGATTCCCTATACTTTACTTCAAGGGCATGAGGCTTATGATGTTCCAACTTTCTGGCTTCTGCTGTAAGCTCTAACGCCCCCACCTACACGAATGGTCCATTAGTATTGAAATACATACGGCCCGAATACGCCGACACAAGTCCCCTGTGGGAACTGTTTATTACTGTGCAGGGTAATCTACCTGATCCGAACTCCCACAACCCGCAGACCTACTTATGAGTATTGTTATTACTCTTACATTCTCACCAGTCACAGGGGCCCCAACTACCTGCACTAGTCCCTCGTGGCAGCTGTTACTGTAAAGGGATGTGCCGTACCCCAAGCCCTTCGTGAGGTGGTACCGGCGCGCGAGTTGACGGACATCGGCGCATACGACATGGTGCGCTTGAGGGTCTTCGAGAGACTCGTACACTTTCGACCAGTTTTAGGTTAGAGGGCTCTAGTACGGTTTAGTCTTGCAGCGTTAAGGGTTCATGGACTTAAGTTTCAAGGTTTAGGCTTTGAGGTTTAGGATTTACAGGGCAGGGGCCCAGATAAAGCTTACATTTAGAACATTGGCTTCCCAGGCCTCTGTGACATGCCAACGGATCGATCCCCTAAACGGGTTGACTACACACTACCTTAACGCTGAATAACCTACTTTTTTAGGGTTCCTTATTATGAACTCTGTATATAAGTCCTTAAAAGGGTGGGTTATTCCGGGTAAAGGCAGGGTTTAGAGTTTAGGGTTTTGGTTATAAACTACTAGTAGCTGACAGGTAACCTCTCGCCATTTGGGTTTATACAACCATACCATAATTGAAAAGGTTACGTTTCTGGTGGAGTAGCAGTGGTAATTATTCAGCCCATTCTGTTAGATCATCCAGCCTGTCCCTAGACCCTAAACTCATGGGAGCATCATGAAAGTGGAGACTTCGGGAAACTCTTACCCATTGCAGAGAGAGTTCACTGCGATGGACCTCGAGGGAGGAGCTCTTTTAGGGTCTAGGTCTTAGGCGCCTGGACAAGTTGTTGGGTGGCTGGGGCTGTTGGTCACAGACTTTCTAGAAGAGAGTGGTTCACAGGGAGGGTGCGGGATCTTCAGGGAACCCAAGGGGGTACTAGGGAGGATCGGGGATGACCAGCCCCAGTGGATCCCCCGTGCTTAAGGAAACCACAATTTGGGCATGTAGGGCCCTTCATGACTACCTCTTGGTGCTTCTGAGCTGTGCCCTCCGCGCTTGTTGATTTCATTTAACCATTGATATTATGGGAGCTAAGGAGCCAGGGATGATAAACCCTATTACCTAAGGAGCTAAAGAGCCAAGGGAACCCCCAAAACCACTGGTTGGTCATTGCAGGGTAAGATCGTGGAGGAAGAGGAGGAACAGGCCGAAGGCCACGGCAGAAGCCTCAGCACGCTGCATGTGCCACGGGTTTTCTACGGGTTGGGAGCTGAGGTCCTGGGATTCTCGAAGTTGGGACCGACTTTTAGGGTTTAGGGTGTTTTGGGGTTTGGGGTTTAGGGTTTAGGGTGTTTAGGGTGTTTAGGGTGTTTTGGGGTTTAGGGTGTTTTGGGGTTTAGGGTTTAGGGTGCTTAGGGTGTTTTGGGGTTTAGGGTTTAGGGTGTTTTGGGGTTTAGGGTTTCGCTTTCAACCTAGAAGCTGACTCAGAGCTCCGAAGCCGCGAAAGTTCCTGGAATTGCTCGAAGTATTCAGCCTTATTAATTAGAGGGTTTCTTATGGTTTCTTTCAAGGGTTCCTTTAAAGGAGTCCGTGGGGGTTCTGGAAGTGATTAAAGGTCTTGAGGCCTCAAGAATTAGAATACGGTCTGCAAGAGTTCTCCTATGTTACGGGTTACTAGGAGGGTCTTGTAGAGCATAGGGCTTAGCACTAAGCTATATTGTCATCATAATTAGGAAGCCTCTGGAATAGTACGCGTAGGTCATTTGGGATATACAAGCTCATGAGTAATTCTGCATGTTTCAGTGCTCTGGGAGCTTATGAACTTTTTCTCACTCGCCTGCATCCTTTTAAGGAACCCTTTCAAGAAATCCTGCTCTAATATATTCAAGCTTCATGGAACCCTCACAGACCTCTCTAAAAGATATCCTTTAAAGAAACCCGACTCCAACATTGAGGCCTACTGGAACCCACATAGACTTCTCTAACGCAACCCTATGCTAGTTTTGCCTGCCATATTTCTTAAGCCGCTAGCCTACCCAGAGCCTGGGCCGTCCCGGAAGTTATCCCAGTTGTTCGATAGCTAAGGGTTTAGGGCCTACTTGTAGTTATAAGTATAGTTACCTCATTTATAACCCCACTTACTAAGTCCCATGATCCTTTAAGTAGGGTCTGGGACATAGGTCCTGGGGTCTAGGATAGAGGGATTGTGGATTATCGGGTTTAGGATTTAGGGCTCAGGACCTTGAAGGCTGACTTTCTGGGGAAAATGGACAAGTAGGCTGTAATATTGGGACCAGTATCATACCCGGAATAGGATTTGCGCATATTCTACTGCGGTTGGCCTGATATTTATTTGTGCTTCCATCTCAGAGTAGGGATTTTGGGCCAGAGCTACCATGGCACCCTAACTATCCAGTATTCGGCCTTCTATATGGGTAGTTCTCTAAAACAGGATCCCTTCTAAGGTCCTCTTTATAGGGGTGCCATACTATCTTGGAAACCTGAAAAGGGATCTTAATTTAGAGAAGTACTTGAAGGGTCATGGGGCTTAGTAAGTAAGGTTACCTTGATTGGGGTTATAAGTAGTTATAAGTACAGTTACCTTATTTAGAACCTTACTTGCTAAGTCCCATGACCCTCCGAGAAAATTTAGAGAAGTATTCATATTCAAAGGTCCTAGAAAGCCCGGACCGCAACTCCCAGGCCATTCGGAAGGTCATGGGCATAGCCATGGACACAGCCATGGTCACGGCGAGGAAGCGTGCTACGAGGCCTCTGGGTGTAGAGTTTCTAGGATGCCCAGTAGTACCCTTATTCCCTTTTTGTAGTCCGAGGTTCCTTATAAAGTTACCCAATACCAAAAAGAGAGGCCTTTTTATTCTTAGGTTACTGGGTATCCTAGGTTTAGGGGCGAAGGTTCCGGAAAGAAGCCTTTTTGCGAGCCCTTACATAGTGAACGGGGGAACTTTAAACGTTTTGGCCTTATATATTAGCTCTATCTTGGAAGGTTTGAACTTGTTGGTGCCCGGTTGTTGAAGAAGACAGCTTATCGGGCCCTTGTTCGGATTAAATCCTTCTTCGGGCTTTGAGCTAAGGCAACCCTAATACCTAAACCCTATAAGCCCAATCCTTATTCGGGCTATTAAGGCCCCCTGCCCCCCCCCCCCCATCCCCCCTTAGCCCCGTACGTGTGCTACGGTTGATGATACAAATCCTGCATTACACATAAGAGGGAGTATACCATAATTCCCTTAGTTTAGGGTCCTTAAGGTACCGAGACCTTCCAAAATCCCTTAATTAAGGAATATACCTTATTTCATATTAGGGGTCCTATTATAAGTTAAGGTTTATTCCTTAATTAAAGGATTTTGGAAGGTCTGGGTACCTTAAGGACCATCAACTATGGGAATTATGGTATATTCCCTATTATGCGTAATGCAGTATTTATATCCTCACCAGTACCAGGCCTTTGGCTTGGTGGGTGCCAGGGTCGGGAACTTGGCCGGCTCGGTGGGCTGAAGGGTTACAGGGAACTCCAGAAAGTTGGAATATGGTTTCATGGTAGGATACCCTATAATTTACCATAGAAGGGTTAGGATAATCATATTCCAACTTTCTGGCTTTTACCTTAAGGTTTTACCTGGGCCCAGATGAACCCATCTCTTTTGGGGCTCTTTATACTTGTCTTACTGGCTTAAACTCAGCTTTTCAACTTTTGGGGTTCTTATGAGACAGTCAATTCTGAAAGGTTCAAGTTTCATTTTCTTGGGTTTGGGCCAGTGAGTATTATGGTTTCCTCATATGGGAGTTTCCGAGAATAGGGGGCCCTGATATAGTACCCTAAATAATAGGATCCTTATAATAAGGACCCCAAGATATGGTACCCCTAATTTTCGGAAACCCCCATATCAGCCTTCAAAAAGATAGGTTAGTCACGGTCCAGGAAGGGTTTAGGTTTGTCGCCTCTCGGAGCTTTGTCTTTCCAAGGCTCAAAGGAGGGACCCCTAATAAGGACCCCTAGGTACCCAGACCTTCCAAAATCCCTTAATTAAGGAATATACCTTAATTCATATTAGGGGTCCTATTATAATTTAAGGTTTATTCCTTAATTAAGGGATTTTGGAAGGTCTGGGTACCCATTGTATAGCCCATTATAGGGTAGGGGTCCCATTAAGGGTCCCTCCTTTTCCCCTTTGAGTCTTGGGCTTTGGAACTCAGGAACCACTGAGATGGCCATGAACGAGCCCGGAAAGTCCAAGTACCCAAGTACCCAGACCACCGGGAGGATCCAAAAACGTAGATCCCTTAATGGGGGGTTCCTAAAAAGGTACCCTTAGTAGTTTTTCGGGCCCCAAATTAACAGATCTACTTTCTAGATCGTCCTGAGGGTCTGGGTAGTAGGGTTTAGGTCAAAAAATCTATACTCTGAATGGTTTTTGGGCCTTGAAGCCCACAAGTTGGGCACTTGGGGAACATGCCCTTGCCCGAAGTGTCGAGGATGGATCTCAAGTCCTTCCTTCTCGGAGGGTCATGCAACTGAGTAAGTAGGGCTCGATATTACAATATTAAGGGTTTCTATGAGAATTCCTTAAGAGGCTCCTTAAAGGGGATCTATAGGGTTTAGGGTTTAGGGCCTACCTCGAGGATCATGGGACTTTGTAAGTAAGGTTCTAAGTACTTCAGTTGGAGCTATGAGTAATCGTACGTATAGCTACCTTATTTCAACCCTTACTTGCTAGGTCCCCCCCACGCATAGTCTCCATTGTAATTCCTTTTTTGGGCTGGTTACACCCAGAGAAATAACTGCCCAGACCTTCCAAAATCCCTTAAGTAAGGAATATACCTTAAATTATAATAGGACCCCTAATATGAATTCAGGTAGATTCCTTTTTTAAGGGATTTTGGGAAGGTCTGGGTGCAATGGAGACTCTACTTGGAGGCCCTTTTGACTTAGTAAGTAGGGTTAGTAAGGTGGGCTATGGGGATTATAATAGGGTTTCTACGGGATACTAAGTAGACTTACTAAGTCAAACGGGCCTCCAAGTAGGCAAACCCTAAATCTGAAGCCCGAAGCCCCAGACCTCACCGGCCCGAGCATAGCAACAAAACCGAACGGACAGTTAGGGGTCCATTATAATTTAAGGTATATTCCTTAATTAAGGGATTTTGGAAGGTCTGGGTACCCATTGTATAGCCCTATCTCCCAGAAAAGCAGCAACTACTGACACAAAACTAAACCCTAAAACCCCCTAAACCCCCTAAACTCTAAAACCCCCTAAACCCCCTAAACCATGAAACCCCTTAAACCCTAAACCCCTAAACCCCTAAAACGACAACAACAGAAGCAGCGCAGGACCACGGCTCCGGTCATGGCGCGGGTCATGGCTCGGGCCATGGCGAGGAGCCCAGGAACCCAAACCTTCCAAAATACCTGAAGTCAGGAATGAAAATATTCTAAAACATGACAAGAGTTTAGGGTTTTTTGGGGTGTAGGGCTTGAAGGAAAAATCCTTTGTTTCCAGCTTTGGGCAAGGTTTTGGGGTTTAGGATGCTTTAGGGTTTCGGGTTTTGGGGGTTTTGGGTCTAAGGGCTTGAAGAACCAGGGCTTCGGGTTTGAGGGTATAGTGGTTTAGGGTTGGAGGCTTGCATATGTCGTGTCCCCTAGGTTCTTCAGAACAAGCAACATTAGTTTCCGGCTCAATGTAGTCCCATGAATAAGAAGCCTACCTGTTGTGCAGGGACGTACGATTAAGGTATGATCAACCAGGAGTTAGTGAGTTGGCGCGTACATTGCGCTTAAAGGTTCAACAGATGGAGGCAGGATGTGGCAGAAATCTATGCCTTCGTTCCATTACTCAAGGTGATGGCTTTACTGGTACATGCTACATACCCATACTTATGCAGTGCTGCATGTGGCAGGCCGTAGTAAGATTCAATTCACTAGGACAGTGTCGCCTGAATTTTTCTCCGTGTGATTCGAGTATGTGCTATGCTGCGCTCGTGGCTAAACCTTACGCCCAGCAGTACGCGCCGAGGCGGCGGTGAAGATCACCGGGACGCGCATCACGGACCGGCACATGGCCGGGGAGTTGCTTGTATGTCTTGTGTCTGCATATCTTTCAGGATATAAGGTCAGAGCGTTAAGGTTCAGAAAGTTCTTGACAAAAAACCACAGTCTGCGTTCTACTTACAGACGCTGCTAAGTAGCCACTTACTCGCGAGGCAGGTCTTCGTGTAAAATGTTTCATCACAGAACCAGGAACCTCGCAAAGTCCAGCAACTGTTTGCACCGCAAAGGAAGGCTTTTACTTTCGAATACTTGTGCACCCCATGAAGAAGGATTTCATATGTTGTGCAGGGGCTCCATGTCAGGTCGATATAGCAAAGTTCGAGGTTTCTGGTGCGGGGTAATTCAAGAACAGACTCCGGATGTAAAAGTCGACACGACAGTCAGTTGTTCTGGTTATGGTAACCGTCAACGCCTAAAAGACAGATCTTCTTTCAGACCCTGCAAACCATGAACCTGCAGCCGCAGATGTCACGCCGTCCATGTGCAGGTCACGGCCACGACAGCTCGCGGCACAATGCACAGATAGGCAGCTTTAGCATTGCCGGTACCTCAGTACTGTGACAAGCAGGGGTGCTACAGCCCAGCTACAGTACATGACCGCCAAGCTAGGGTTTAGAATTTGGGTTTAGGTTTAAAGCCTGTTTACCCACCTAGGGTTTAGTCTGAGTTATACGTATCCCTAATCCCGGTTCACTCAACAGCAAGTACCCTGTACTGACGCTGAACCCTCAAGCAACAAAGCTTTGAACAATGGTATAAACAGACACACACACACACACCCACACATGTGGGATAACACCTGACTAGGATGCCCAGTGGCACCCTTATTGCGGTTTGGTAGTCCTCGGTTCCTTGTAAAGGTACCCAATACCAAAAAGGGAGCCCTTGCCATTCCTAGGTTACTGAGCATCCTGGTCTGTAACACCTGACGAACACTAGGGATCAAAACAGCCCAAAAGCCTTATATAGTATGGTCTTCGGGCCCAAAAGCCTTAATATATGAGTCCTTAGATCCCTAGGGGAAGCGCGCTGCACGAGGTCCGGAAGGGAATGGAGGTGGAGCCTTTGGCCTTCGCACGGACGGGGCCTGAGTTTAGAGCTTAGGGTTCAGGGTTACTTCCAGGTGATGCTCAGGGCGCCACATACTTTAGGCGGGTCCAGGGAAGTCCCATGATGTGTTCTTGGCCTTCTTCTGGTTGACTCTTAGGACTTGAACTTTGGGGTTGAGGCAAGTTCTGTAGGTACGCCCTGACACCACCAAACCGCACTTTACTGACGTAGTAGCTGAGTAGTAGGCGACCTTTAACTTTTTGGGGTTTATATAAACCTACCATAATTGAAAAGGTTAACCTTTTTCAGGCCAGGGTATTTAGCCCCTAAACTGAAGGGTCCATGATGACTCCCTGCACGTAAATACAGTATCTACTGTGGCCTTACAGCGCCTCGTCTCTAGATGCTTCAGGGGCAACGTATATGCTATATATAGGCAACGGGATCCTTAGTAAGGTTCATTGGTTTAAGGTTTCACACGGTTTACGGTTTAGGGTTTAGGGCTTTCCCTAAGGCCTTAGGGCTCAAAGCAGCCCAAAAGCCTTATATAGTATGGTCTTCGGGCCCAACGCCTTAATATACGAGTCCTTAGATCCCTAGGGCTTTCGGGCTTGAACGCAGTGGGTAGCTGATGCTCAGCATCGTGGCGAGTTCGTCCCACAGCCATCGGCTCTTAAAGGAGCTTGCTTGGGAAATTCCAAAAATTAGGGGTCCCCTTTTTTCAGAAACTCCCGCTTTCAAGCCTTAAGCCGCCAGGAAGCCCGACGTGGTAAAGCCCTAACGCCCCACGACGCTGCTGCCTAAGGTGGGTCCGGATTATCGCCACCTTGCCGAAGGAGAAAGGCTGGCCTTCTTCGGGCAGTCTAAAACTCTAGGGTTTAGGGTTTCTCAGTAGCTGAGTGGATACACTTTACATTTTTTGGGATAATATTACTCACTATAAAGCTGAAAGTGTACACTTTTTGAGGACTTATGAACTCAGCAACTAGGGTCAAGAGTTTAGGGTTTAGGGTTTAACCTTAAAAGTAAAGACCCTAGACCCTCAGAATGGTTGGTTTCGGAGTGTCGGGTCTGTTTTTTTTGTTTTTGGGCTTTACGGTTGTTGTCTTTAAGAGTTTGTTTATTGTTGTTTTTTGGCTTTACTGTTTTTGTTTTTAAGAGTTTTGTATTTTGTTTTTTGGGTTTACGGTTTTTGTCTTTGAGAGTTTTGTTTTTTGTTTTGTCGGGTTTACGCTTTTGTCTTTGAGAGGTTTTTTTGGCAAGCTTCCGGACCGCAGTTTGGTTTTCAAGTTTCCGCGCTACGGGTGCGCCGCCTGAAACAGTCTTGTTTCACGAGTGTTTACGCAGCCTCGTCAATAGTCTCGAACGAAATGCAAGATTTATTCCAGGGGTTGTTCGGGCTTCAAGGTTGGCGTGCCTAGTTTTATCTAACACTAGCTGGGTTTAGGGATTATAGGGTTTAGGGTTTAGAGGGTTTAGGGTTTAGGTTAGGGATAAGAGTATACCCGTTGAAGTTTCTGTACACCTATTTCTGCCCTTTCCTTGGCGTACTAGAGCGTTATTCGTAGTTTAAAAGTTGGGTACGGCCCCCACTCAGTAATAGTTGAATAGTATTCCTTATATAGATATATTAGGACCTTAATAGTAGCCCTATTATAGACTCTTACTGTATGGGGGCCGTACCTAATCTAAAAGTAATGTATGATTGCTCTACTCGGGGTCATGGTACTTTGTGTTTCGGACCAAGTCCCCTTGCTCCTCTATTAGGGTTCAGGGTTATTTAGATCTAGTCGAGTGTGTGGTTAAAGGCTGAGGGCCTGGGGTGCATGAGGGCGCGTAGCAAGTCGCCCGTGTGTAAGCTTAGGAAACTTAGCCCCTCAGCCCAAGAGTTAGTAAGGGCCCTTGTGCTCTTGGCATGGAAAGCCCCGCAACATGCCCCGGACCTGAAACCAAACCCTGAAACCTGACCATACCCTCCGAAAAAGGGCAACCTGAAACCCACCGAGACACTCCTTCAAAAAGACGCTGCAATCCGATCAGCAGCCTTGTATCCCTAAAGTCCGTGTCAAGCCAAGCCCCTGTAAATGCCTTCAACAAGCTCTACAACATTGTAGACAGCCCAGTAAAGGTCTAAACTCCAAGCCATCGTGCAAGCAGACAAACTCCTGCAAGCCCTACCAAAAAAAAAACACACCTGGTCTACCACCCTATCAAAACCCTTACAAAGCTACTAACATTCGAAACCTCCCCTGAAGCTGAAATCCCAAAGCCGTAAACCCTACAAGCCTAAAACCCAGGTTCTCCAATAGTTAGTTACTACCCGAGAGCCTCCAAGTTCCCAAAAAGAAGGGCTTTAGATTCCAACTCCCATACTCTGAGTGGATTTTGGCACTTGATCAATATGTGGGTGGTTGTCAAAATTGCGGGTCCCTTTTTGGGTACCCTAAATAATAGGTGCCGTATTATAATAAGGACCCAAAAAGGGACTCTAATTCTGACAACCACCCATGTATACAATATCCCACCAGAACCCTCGGAGTAGCCCATGCAGTGCCCCTCTATAGTTCATTGAACCCTAGTTCATTACACACCTAAAGCCGTAAAGCACTAGAACACTCCCAACCCAAAACCCAAAGCCACTGAACCCACCTAGATCCCTTTAGAAGGGGAGCCTAAACCGTTTGGATCCATTGAAAAAGGGAGCTTGGGGGAGTGGAGCTCCACTCCTTGGCAGCCCTCGGCGCTGACCCCATACCCTTTGTCATAGTTGGGTAACATTTTACATGTTTATGGGTACTGAAACCCAATAAGGAATAAAAATGTGCGTTTTTTTGTAAAAAACCTATCCCAACTGTGAGCTAGTAGCCTCCACAAGCCGCAGAACACGGTTGGCAACGTCACCTGCATTTCCTCCTCCGAGTACAAGAAGAAGCACCATGGGGGCAGGGACGCCCACTGCAGCTCATCCTTGACATCGAGTTCTACAAGTGGGTAGTTGTCAAAATTAGGGTCCCTTCTGGGATACCCGAAATATTAGGTGCCCCATTATAATAATGACCCAAAAAGGGACCCTAATATGGATAACCACCCAAGTGGGTCAAGCCTTTCAGATGCCTTTAAAAAGGGAACCTAAACCGTTCTAGATCCGTTTAAACAGCGAACCCAAACCGTCCTGTAGAGCCCTTCAAAAAAGGAGCCTCAAGCCTCCTACTTGGAGGCCCTTTTGACTTAGTAAGGTTAGGGGTTCCTTTAAAGGGGTCCTAAAAGGGATCTATAGGGGTTCCTTAAAGGGATCTATAGGGTTTAGGGTTTAGGGGTTACTTGGAGGCCATTTTGACTTAGTAAGTAGGGTTAGTAAGGTGGGTTATGGGGATTATAACGGGGTTTCTAGGGGATACTAAGTAGACTTACTAAGTCAAAAGGGCCTCCAAGTAGATCATTTTAAAACGGAGCCTGAACCTCCCAGATCCTATTTAAAAGGAACCTAAAATCCATCTAGATCCTCGTAAAACCGAAACCTTTGAAAGCACGCCCATAGACCCGAAACCTTAAGCCCCTAAACCCCTAAATCCCTTAAGCCCTACGGATCCCTTACAGGAGCCCTTAAAGGTCCCCTTTACAACGAATCCTAGCCTCACCCTAAACCCTAAGCCACTAAACCCTAAGCCCCTAAGCCCCTAAACACTAAGCCCCTAAACCCTAAGCCCCTAAACCCTAAGCCCCTAAACCCTAAGCCCCTAAACCCTAAGCCCTTAAACCCTAAACCCTAAGCCCCCAAAACCCCCAAGCCTCGCGAGGCCGGCTTTACCGCTCTAAAGGCGTTTTGGCAGCCAGCGGCAGGCGGCGATTCGGGCTTTTTGGTGGTCAGGTTTCCTTAAAGGGATCTCTAGGGTTCCTTAAAGGGATGTCTAGGGTTCCTTAAAGGGATCTCTAGGGTTCCTTAAAAGGGATCTCTAGGGTTCCTTAAGGGGTTTAGAGGGTTTAGGGTTTTAGGGGCTTTTTGGGGTCTCTTTGGGGGTGTTCAGGGTTTCAGGGTTCTAAGGGGTTTAGGGGGTTTAGGGTTTTAGGGTTTAGGGTTTAGGGTTTTAGGGGCTTTTTGGGGTCTCTTTGGGTTGATTTAACCAGGACACTCCAAGTAGGGCTTTTAGGGTTTAGGGCTTAGGGTTTAGGGATTTAGGGTTTAGGGCTTCGGGCTTCCTTTCAAGGGATCTATAAGGGTTCCTACAGGGGGTCTATAGGGTTTAAGGTTTTAGGAAGCTCCTAGGATCCCTAATTGAGGAATATACCTAAGGACTGTTTGGGGTCTCTTTGCCTAGGGATCAAAGCAGCCCAACAGCCTTATATAGTATGGTCTTCGGGCCCAAAAGCCTTAATATATGAGTCCTTAGATCCCTAGGGTTTGGGTTAATTTAACCAGGACACTCCAAGTGCCCCTGAATAGAGCCCTTATGGTCCTTAGTAGTGGGTATGTAGGATATACTAGAAGGTAGTTGGGGGGCCTAGGTAAGGGTACAAGCGTGTTTGGTCTTTGGGTTCCTTCAAAGGGATGTAGAGGGGATTAAAGGGATCTAGAGGGGTTCCTAAATGGGATCTAGAGGGTTCCCTTAGGGGGTTTAGGGCCAAGGGTTCAGGAGTTCAGAACTTAGGGTTCGGGTTTAGGGTCTTTGCTTGGAGGCCCTTTTGACTTAGTAAGTCTACTTAGTATCCCCCAGAAGCCCTATTATAATCCCCATAACCCACCTTACTAACCCTACTTACTAAGTCAAAAGGGCCTCCAAGTGGGTTCCTGCAATAACTTTTCATAGAGGGTTCAATGAGGGTTTTTTGTTTATTGTGCCGGGGTTTTGGGGCTCCAGCAAGAGGAATCGCTTTCCACTACTTGGAGGCCCTTTTGACTTAGTAAGTATGGTTAGTAAGGTGGGTTATGGGGATTATAATGGGGTTTCTAGGGGGTATTAAGTAGACTTACTAAGTCAAAAGGGCCTCCAAGTAGGCAGGCAATCTCGTACTATAGAAGCCTTCAAGCGTAGAATGGTATTCTTTGAGATTCCTTTCAAAGTCGAGCTGCACTACAACGCATCCCAGTTAAAACTACTCAAAACAATATGGCCGCGCTCTTGCTTGTACCAGTTTTGGGTACGTATGCCCACCTGGTCAGGGTTTCTTCAGACAGCTCGCAGCCAGCAAAGACCCTTCTAAGTGCCGGATACAACCTCTGCAAGACCATATAGCAACTCTAAACCCTAACCCTGAAACCTTAAACTCTAAACCCTGACCCCTGACTGATAGGGCCTTTTGACGCCCCGGATTCTGGAAGCTTTCAACCCTAAACCCTAATCCGTAAACCTGCCGATTGCAGATCAGGCCCGATACACTTTACACTTTTGGGGATAATACTACCCACTATCAAACTGAAAGTGTACACCTTGGGGTGCTTGTGAGCTCAGCAACTAAGTATATACGCCAGAATTAGCCATGAAAGGAGCCGCAAGCTCATTTTCCATGCCGTGGCAGATGTGACGGAGATGCCCCTGGCCCGACAGAGAAGTTTTCACAAGGATCCTTAAGGGGGTAGAGGGGAGGGGGGCAGGGCTTTAATAATACCTACAACAAGGACTTAATGAGGCCTATTTAAGGAAGTGTAGTCGCCCATGAAGTTTTGGGGATTGCAGGTCATAGGGTTTAGGAGTGTTTTATCCGTTTAAACAGGCTGTTTTGAGGGTGTCTTTCTTGGCGCTTAGGGCTTTCAGACTGATAGTTTCAGGTTGAGATTTCAGGCTTCCAGAAGAAATGCGCAGGGTTATCCGGGATTTTCAGAAAAATAGAAAACGCTGAACACTAAACCCCAAACACTAATCTAAGTCAAAGAAGCGCAGGATACGTGTGTGCGAGTCCATCTTGCAGAGTTACCCTTCGGGTTCGGTTTGGGGTTTACAGTCATTTCCAAGGGTTCTTCAAAATATGTGTGTGATATGAAGCCCCTCCCAATCTTCCAAGGCTAAGCAGATCAGGCCTTTCTCCATCAAGCAATCCTGCTACTTGTGGCTGTTCTCGATCTTCAGTTCTCCTAAACCTCTAAGTTCATAGCCTTCCTCGTCTTAGCACCTAAAAAGCACCAACGCTAAGCCGTAAAGCTTAAAACGCAAACCTAATAGAATTCATGAACTTTGTAATTTTTGAACTCCTTCGGAGAGATGCGAAACCTACACCTACACCGGATAGCTTCTAGATGTTTAGGGCACTCGGCGCTACTCGGTTGAACAGAGGTTTGAACTTATAAAGGGCTTTAGTGGCTAGTGTGAGGGAGTTTCAAAAGGCTACATTAACGATGCTTTTGAGCTTTTGGCACTTGAGGGACTTTCGGGTTCGGGCGTCGATTGGATTTAAAGTTTGGTGGTTGGTTCCTTTGCTGCTCAAGAAGGCAATCTGTTTTTCTTCTAGGCAAATCTTAGCAGCTGAGTAGGCCAGCTTTAACCTTCTGGGGTTTGTATAAAACGTGCCGTAATTGACAAGTTTAACCTGTTTTTGGGCCAGGGTACTCAGCCCCTAAGAAATCCTATCCGAATTGGGGAAACCTATCTCACCGATAATCTGAGATCTTCGGTGCCTCATGGTTTCCCTTGTGGTGAAGCTGACGACTCCTACCCCACAAACGTTCGCCAATTGTGGTTTTTCCACGACGGTAGGTTGAATGGACTTCTTCAGGAAGAACTTGGCTCAGGCGTCGACCTCTACAAGCCCCGGGAACCCTTGTGAAACCACTGAAACCCTCTAAACCCTATACATCGTTATGGGCAGTGAGTAAACCTTAAACCGTAAACCCTAAACCCCTAAACCCTAGACCCTAACCTGCCTTGAAGGCCAAGTTGTTTAAACCACCCTCCGGGCCCGAGGTGCGAGGGTCCGGAGTGGCCTGTTGGTGAAGAGAAGGTCACCAAGATCGCGTGGCCGGCTTGTTGTTATTATTGTTATTTCTGCTAGTACTGGTATTGTGTTGGTTGATTTTACAAATGGGTATCGCCATCGCTACGACCATTTGCTATTGATTATTAAAACTACTGTAACTGTTTCGTTTTACTAGTGTTATCCTCGTCGTTGTCATTGGTGTCACGAGGGTTGATTCTGTGTCTAACTTGCAATTAGTGGGCTCTTGGTGATTATTGTCAGTAGTTCATTTTTGTTCTTAGTAGTGTGACTCGCTAATTCTGGTTCTTCCCTGAGTAGTAGTTTCACATCGCTATTAATGTTGTTGCTGTTGTAAAAGCAGTAATAAGCAATAGATGGAGGAGGAGGTGGAGGAGGAGCAACAGCAGGGATAGGACTTAGGGCTCGGAGTGAGCGTGGCACACGACCAGTGCACTGGACTTGTTCGCGGCTGGGTGGAAATCTAAAGCAGGTCTTCCTCCCTCGAACCCAGACCTTCCAAAATCCTTTAATCAAGGAATATACCTTAAATTATAATAGGACCCCTAATATGAATTAAGGCATATTCCTTAAATAAGGGATTTTGGAAGGTCTGCGAAGCTACTTGGACCAGACCACTGAATGAGCCGACCGACTCCCCCTAAAGTCCCCAGAAGCCCAAAGCCTGACCGTTTTCGCAAAACCTCATAAACCAATTTAAAGCCCAGGCCCTAGACCCCATAAAGTCTGACCTGCGAGTCCGTTCAGCCATGATGGGAAACTGCAGGGATGTGTGAAGCGCGCTTGAGGGCTTGTTTTTCTTACTGTGTAGGCCGCAATGAGGCAGGCCGACGCTGCACAACAGAAAAGGCCGTTGCACTTTAAAAAAAGACCCCATAAAGTGGTATAGTCAGTATGGTCTTCTTACAGCAGCTATTCCCCAAACTTAGTGCTTCTTTAAGGCCACATCAGCAAACACAATGTCAGACCTTGATATAGAGCATGAACAATACTCTATAGAGCCTGCATTGGATCCTTACAAGATCCCTTCCAGGAGCCCCCTTACCCCTTACATACCCACTAGAAGAACACCAAGGTAGGGCCAAGACCGTATAAGAGACAAACCCTTCACCTCAACTCCCTACTTGGAGGGTCGGGGGACTTAGTAACTGGTTATTTTAGGGAGTTTTAAGTACCATAACCCCAATCAGGGTCCCTTTTAGGGTACTTACAAGTCTACTTACTACCTACTTACTAAGTCCCCCGACCCTCCAAGTAAGCTCTCAGGCCCCAAAGCATTAACTCCTTCAGCCCCAATCACTCAAACCCTATAGCACCCTTAATTAAGTGGGTGGTTGTCAAAATTATGGTCCTTGTTTGGGTCCCTATTATAGTACGGCACCTATTATTTAGGGTACCCAAAAAGGGGCCATAATTTTGACAACCACCTACTAAGTATAGGAACCCTAGAAGGCGCTTTCAGCCCTAAACCCTAAACCCCTAAACCCCTTGCACGCCTGCCAGGTCTTCATTGGCAAGAGCCTCGCCCGTAGAGAGATCGAAGAGCCCTCCCAACGAGCTTTTGCCAGGGTTTGGGGTCTAGGGGTTTTGGATTTGGGATTTAGGGTTGGGGGTTAAGGATCAGGGTTGCGGGTTGGGATTACAATATGGGAGTTTCCTAAAATAGGGGACCCTAAAAATAGTATCCCAAACAGTAGGATCCGTATTGTAAGGACCCCAAATAAGCTACCCCTAATTTTCGGAAACTCCCATATAACTATACTAGGGACGATCAGGCGATACCATTCTTAGTTATTCCGACACCTACATCATGCAAAAGCTTACTTCTTGATGGCTAGAAAAAGAACTAAACACCCAGACCTTCTTAAATAAGGAATATACCTTAATTCATATTAGGGGTCCTATTACAACTTAAGGCATATTCCTTGATTAAGGGATGTTGGAAGGTCTGGGCATTGATTCAAAACAACTTGGAGGCCCTTTTGACTTAGTAAGTAGGGTTAGTAAGGTGGGTTATGGGGATTATAATAGGGTTTCTAGGGGATACTAAGTAGACTTACTAAGTCAAAAGGGCCCCCAAGAAGGGTACCATGGATTGTTGACCTTAAAGCGCAGGCTCCCGCATGTGAGGACACGCCCTGCGGGGGGGGGGGGGGGGGGGATCTTGGATTCTGCAAGAAAGCAAACCCTTACTTGGAGGATCATGGGACTTAGTAAGTAAGGGTATAAGTGCCTTAATTGGGGTTATAAGTACTTATTAGTATAGTTAGCTTATTTATAAGCCCACTTACTAAGTCCCATTATCCTTTAAGTAGTAGCCGAGCAGGTCACCTTTTAACCTTGTGGGGTATTTACATAAAGCCTACCATAGCTGAAAAGGTTAACTTTTCTCGGGCTAGGGTACTCAGCCCCTAAGTACAGCTTGTGCTAGCCCATAAAACGGTTGAAGGCCATTTGTAGTGTTCGAGTTTTTAGATGCTTTACAGGGTCTGGGTAGGGATTAGGGCAGCTCAATACTCAGTGCAAGCCTTACTACCTGCACCTACATACCTACCTAGGCAGAGGCCAAATCCCCTGGAAAGTGAACTCCAGGCAAACAGAAGCATGAAGCCAAGCCGGCCCACTCGCAACAGTGAGGCAGCGGACCCCCATTCCGCAAACGCCGAGCACCGTTCGTGGAGCGCGGTCAAGGCGTCCACTCAACGTACAGCAACGGTGGAAGCTCTGCGCCAACAGGGAGCTGTGAGTTAGTGCAAAGGGCTTTTCAGAAATTGCCCGAACGGAGTCGTGCAGTCCGCCAAGCTCAAGGCTGTTTTGGGGCAGGTGCAACCAGCAAAAGGCCGAGCGAACTACACGAAGAAGGCCAGTACTGTCAGGACATGCTGGTGCTTGCGAAGACGTTGGGTGTGGGCTGTCAGGGAAGCAAGGACTGGCGGTCGTTCAGCGGCGATGCAGTCGCTTATGGACGGCTTATCCGTAAGGCATTTGGCAGTGAAACGATAAACACCTGAATGTACTACTACTACTACTACTACTGCTGCTACTACTACTACTACTACTGCTACTACTACTACTACTACTACTACCACCACTACTGAGGTAACTAGTGCCACTATACCACTACTACTACACCAAGTAATAATAGCAGTACAAATATTAATACCATGCCTTCGGGTTCCTGATTCCAATGGTAGCAACATACCCGGAAACACTCTTCGAAACATTGGAGAGCTCAAACTATACGCGGTCGATCATGGCTCCAGAAGCGTTCTAATTCGGTAATGGCTCCCCCGAACCCTAAACTCTATAGAAGCTCTAGACGCGGTCTAGACTACAAAGCACCAGGTAAGTTGGGCCGAGAACCCCAACTAGACATCAAACCGCAAGCCCCAACTCGACCCTGACCCTAAATTCTAAATCCCCTACTAGATCGCAAACCCTAAACCCTAAGCTACACTTCTCGCCTGCCAGTCGATTCCTGCAAGTGGTGCAGCCTTTGCAACTTAATCTTAGGCCCGGGCCGGGTTGCAGGGTTTAGAGTTTTGAGGCTGCAGGGTTCTTAGGTTATCGGGCTTTACGCTTTTAGGCTTCAGGGTTTTATGGCTTTAGGGTTTTAGGTTTTTAGGTAACTTGCAATAGTTGTGGAAAGCCTTAGGTTCAGATTTGTTGGCTTCTCATCCCTAGCGGGTTCACGGCGCGAAGTGAGTAGGGTTATGGAACGGTTTTTTAGGTCGGATAGGTTATGGGAAATTTTTTTGTAATAAGAGTAAACTAACTTTAGTGACAGTCGAAACTTCTAGCCCCAATCACGCTATTCACGACCCTGCTCACTGTGTTCCGTGAGCCTCTAGGTACAGGATTCTGGCGTGCATGCCATCGGGTTTCATGGCGTTGATCTGAGGCTTGGGTTTAGTGTGGTTTAGTGTTTGTTTTAGCTACCAAAACCTTCATTTGTTGTAGGGTACCTCTCTCTCTATATATATATATACACACACACTATCTATATATACATAGACATTTCTGAATTAACTGAGGCATATAATCAGGGCCTACAAAAAAGGTAGGTTATGGTGGTTTAAGGTAGGGCTTTGGCATGAAGGTTCGGGGTTCTGTCCAGGGGTGATTATTGCTCAAGGTTGGAAGTTCCGTCCAGAACTTCCAAAATCCCTTAAATAAGGAATATACCTAATTCATATTTGGGATCCTACTATATCTATATTTTACGGTATATTCCTTCATTAAGGGATTTTGGAAGGTCTGGGTGGTCTTTGACCCGTCACTATGGCATGGGCAAGGTTGTCGGGCTTACACAACCCATCCGGTGAATCCGCTTCGAGGGCGTTGGGCTTCCGGCAGTATTAGGCTTGTTCCGCTTGCAGTAGAAGCCAGAAAGTTGGAACATCATTGCCCTGATGCCCTTAAGGCAAAGCAGAGGGAATCCCAGCAATAATCCTCCTAAATCTATGTTCCAACTTTCTGGGGTTCACTTTAGGTTTCTAAGTTCTTCTCAAGATTTCACTATTTTGATTGAGGGTTTTGTGTTCAGGCTAGACCGGTTTGGTGCAGGGTATACCTTTACATGTGCCGGACTAGACTTGCCTCCGGTCGCGAGCAGGCCATCCTTTCAAGCGCCGACGTGTTCGCCCAACTTTACGTCCATGATGCAGGCACTGGGGCAGTTCTCTTAAAAAGTAAGTCCCTTTTCAGGTCCGGCCAACTAGTACGGCATTCCCATTTTTTCAAAAAAAGACCCAGTGTGGGACAGTTAGTTAGAGAACTACCCAATTGCCACGGCTCCGAGAGAGCATCGCTCATGTAGTACCCAAGGGATCAGAAAGAACTATAGGGTGGAAAGTAGGGTTTCTACTACGACTTTGGTTGGGAAAAGTATTCCTCAAGTCATAGTCGGGGCCTTGACATGATTAAAGGTATATTCCTTAAGCAAGGGGTTTTGGAGTCTCTGGGGTCTTATCCCGTTCCTTACTTAGCCAATGGGAGAACTCGTTTTTGCTTTTTGGGCCCGGTTACTGAGAAAAAGAGTTCCCGTAAGCTCAAGGGTTTAGGGTTGAACCCGTCATCGGGCCAACCGTCATGAGGGTTCAGGATTCAGCTACAAGCTCCTGCACCCCCCGAAACCCTACTTGGAGGCCCTTTTGACTTAGTAAGTCTACTTAGTATCCCCTAGAAACCCCATTATAATCCCCATAATCCACCTTACTAACCCTACTTACTAAGTCAAAAGGGCCTCCAAGTAAGGTGTCCGCATTGATATACATTATCAACATCAGTCCTGGGGTTCCTCGTGAGAATGGTGCTATAGTGAACCCCAGAAAGCTGGAACATGGATTAAGGATGATTAGTGCTTGGATTCCCTACACTTTACTCTTAGGGCATGAGGATGATAATGTTCCAACTTTCTGGCTTTTACTGTACAACATGCACCCGATCTCTCTGCTAATCAGTAAGGCCCCTACGGTTGATGATATAAGCCCTGCATTACCTTAACATGACCCTAGGCTATGGGAATTATGGTATATTCTTTAATTACTATGGATAATGCAGGGTTTGTAGCATCAGCCGTAGTACAGAATTCTGTTGGATGCCCGTGTACAATTGCGAGAGTCTAGGATCTTCTGGGGCTTCCATCATCCCAGACCCTCCAAAATCCCTTAATTAAGGAAAATACCTTATTTCATATTAGGGATCCTATTATAATTTATGGTATATTCCTGAATTAAGGGATTTTGGAAGCTCTGGGATGAATCGGCCGTCAGGGTTTCATAGGGCGTGTGAGTCTGGAGTTCCTTAGCGTAGTAGCTGTGACGGTCGGCGTTCTGAGTTGCATTTGACCTTAAATCCCGAGCCCAGAACTGTGAACCTTAAAGCCTGAACCCTACCACACTCAGAGGTCAGAGGACTCAGCAGCTGCGCTGCGAAACCCTTACCCCCTGCAGGATCCAGCAAACCCTCCAGCCTCCCAACAGGTATCCTACTGTTAATCCGGTGTTGTCAGACGGTTTGGGCTTTCGGGGATTAGGCTTAATAATTTGGTGGTTAAGTATCCTACAGCTATCCGATCAAGACCGGCCCTTGTTCAGGATATTGTATAGATCCTGTTTGACGGCCTGAGTAACTCCTGCTCCGCGCCAACGCCCCTCTCCGGTTTTGTTATGCTCTCATTTAACACCAAAGAACCTGCCTTTATAAGGAGTTACATTTCATGGTTTGGAATCCTAAAACGGTAGGTTTTCAAGGGTCCAGGTTCTACTATCTGTAGAACCCTCCTAACCGTCCTAACCAAAGGGGCCCTTTTCGTTCACAAGTCTACATGCCATAATGCTCAAACTATAGTGATGTAATTAGATACAGTTTAGTATACCCCCAAACTCTAAACCCTAAACCCTAATTGTAACTTAGTATACATGTCCGACACTCTTCCTCCCCCGCAGCGTCTGGCCGTCCGAGTGTGCCTGAGAACAGCCCCTGCGTCGACCGGTTTCTCTGGGTTGAGGCTGTGGGGAAGAGAGTCGAAGGGTGTTGAGTTCAGGGTTTAGGGTTTAGGGTTTAGGGTTTAGGGGTTTAGGGTTTAGGGTTTAGGGTTTTAGTTCATGTTTGTCATTGATATCATGGTTTCGTGTACGGCTTCGGGGGTTTGGAGATTTCAGGCCTGCTGTATGCCACATGGGCCACATCAGCTTGGACCTTGAGTGAGTGGTCAGGTTATCATTTTTTGGGGGGCTCGGGTGTCACGGTTCCAGGTCCTAGGGTGGGTGTGTTGGGTTGAATTGCTCGCTGCGTTTGTAGACGAGCATGGCGTTGTCAAAGCCGCCGTCGAGCATAGCAAATGGCCGTGAGCTCATGCGGGGATGTTCCGAGATAGATAGACAATAAGTTCAATAGATAGATTGGCAGGTAGGTAGGGAGGTATGTAAGGGGGGTTAGGTAGATAGTAGGAAGGCAGACAGATATGCAGATAGACAGGCAGGCAGATAGTAGGCACCTCAAACTCCACATTCTTAACTAGCCAACCTTGACATGTTCGGGATCATTGCAACTTGCATTGTTCTGGAAGTGCAGCTTGCAGTTCTACCCCCTGAGGGTTAATCTTTAATCTGCACGAACCCCAACTTGCCACAGAAATACATGAAGAATCAGTGTTCAGGTGGCCAAGAGGGGTTAGGGTTTCAGGGTCTTCGGGATCTGAGCTTGTAGGGTTTTAAGTGTGGGGCTTTATTGTTTTGGTTGTTGGCAAAAGGCGTTTGGGGGGGAGGATGCCTCGATGGGTGGTTGGGCTAAGGGTCTGTACGGAGCTTCACTATACAACAGAAGCCTCAAGCATTACCACTACGGTTCCTTGGGGTTCCTCAATACATCTACAGAAGAGTATACCCCAAACCTTATGCTAATCATAAGGCCGCTGTATTGCTGCTAAAGGTTACGGCCTGGTTACAGTAAAGGGAGACTTGGATGGCAAGTTGTAGGGGGTAGTTGGCCCCATGCTGTCACAGGAGGCCAAAAGGGGTTTTAGCCTATGGGGGTTTAGTAGGGGTTGGGGTTCCCATAATAAGGTTCCTGTTTTGGCATCCTTACCCCAAGAATCTTAAACCCCCCTTTTGGCCTCCCATCATACTGGTGATAGCGCAAAGCTGCCTTACTAAGTCTTGTGATCCTCCCAAGCCCCCAAACTCCCAAATCCCAAGCCACTGAAAAAAAAGCAAACCCTACTTGGAGGCCCTTTTGACTTAGTAAGTAGGGTTAGTAAGGTGGGTTATGGGGATTATAATGGGGTTTCTAGGGGATACTAAGTAGACTTACTAAGTCAAAAGGGCCTCCAAGTAAACCCTAACCCTAAACCTCCTACACCCTAAGCCCCCCCAGTCCCCAAAGCCTAAACCCCTAAGCCCTGAAACCCTACACCCTAAAGCCCCTAGACCTTACTTGGAGGGTCGGGGGACTTAGTAAGTAGGTAGTAAGTAGACTTATAAGTCCCTAAAAGGGACCCTAATTGGCGTTATGGTACTTATAAGTCCCGAAAATAAACAGTTACTAAGTCCCCCGACCCTCCAAGTAAACCCCCCAAACTCCTCTAAACCCATGAAACTCTGAGCCCCGGGCTTCCTTTGCACACCCTACAGCCTTAAGCTCCGACGGATTAGGGTTTTAGGGTTTTTAGGGTTTTAAGGTTTTAGGGTTTTGGGGTTTTAGGGTTTTAGGGTTTTAGGGTTTAGGGTTTAGGGTTTAGGGCCGAGGTAGGGTTTGACAGTAGAAGCCCAAAACTTGGAAATCGAATAGCCGCAATCAGTAAGCATAATGCAAAGGGAATGCCAGCACTAGTTTGCCTTAACCCGTTTTCCAACTTTATTGTGTTTATCGTAGGGTTTGCGAATTTTCTGAAATTCTAGATGGCAGACATCCTCAGGATAGCTGAAATGGGCTCATACTGAACCGTGCAGAGTGAACGCACACCCTGAACCCTAAATGCTAAAACCTAAACTTAAAACTCTGCTAAACCCCAAACCCTAAATGCTAAAACCTAAACTTAAAACTCTACTAAACCCCAAACCTAAATGCTAAAACCTAAACTTAAAACTGTGCTAAACCCCACACCCTAAATGCTAAAACCTAAACTTAAAACTCTACCAAACCCCACACCCTAAATGCTAAAACCTAAACTTAAAACTCTACTAAACCCCAAACCCTAAAACCTAAACCTAAACTCTACATCAAAAGCTGAGGCCAGTACCCCTTAATTAAGGAATATGGGCTTCATATTATGATTTAAGCTATATTCCTTAATTAAGGGGTATTGGGCTCTCTGGGTACTAAAACGCTGAGGCCACCCTGTGATAGTGGTATAATAGGAATATACTAGGGCCCTAATGTAGTCCTTATAGTCACTATTACAGGGTGGGGGCAGCTTCTAAACTCTACATAAAACGCTGAGGCCTGGAGTAGGCGCTTATTCCCTTTTTGAGGGTTCAGGTTCCCTGATAAGCACCTTTAACCCAAAAAGGGCACCCTTTTTCTTCGTAGGTTACTCTTGGGTCTAGACATAAAACGCTGAGGCCAGTACACGGTGCAGAAGCTCCTGGGTGCTGGCTGCTTTGGCCAAGTCTGGTCAGGGACGCCTCTTGGCCGAAAGCTGTTGGGGGGGGGTTTAAGACTTAGGGTTTAGGGTTTAGGGTTTAGGGTACGGTTTAGGGTTTAGGGTACGGTTTAGGGTTTAGGGTTTAGGGTACGGTTTAGGGTTTAGGGGAAGGGTTCCTTAAAGGGCTCCTTGAAGGGATCTGTAGGGTTCCTTAAAAGGGATCTATAGGGTTTCGGCCTTAATAATTGGAATAGGGTTCCTTTTCTTATTGGCAGTAAACTAAACTTTTCAACTTTTGGGGTTCTTATAAGGTAGTCGATTCTGAAAGTTTCAACGTTTATTCCCTTGGGTTTTGAGCCAGTGAGAAGATGCAGTTTCAGACTTTTGGGTTCTCAGAGTTGGGGGCTTAGCTTAAGCAAGTTGACTGTTTTCTAGGGTTCCTTTAAAGGGTTCCTTTTAAAGGGGTCTATAAGGGCTACTATAAGGGCTACTATAAAGGTTTAGTATAGGGTCCTTAATAATTAGAATTGGGCTTGGGGGGCCATTAAACTATAATTATACTAAGGAACCCCCCAAAAA